GGTTAACTATTCTAGGCTTTTTTCGTGTGTACCTCTTTCCCCCCCCTTTCACTTTTTTTTTTCCCACTCCTTTTGGCGAGGGTTACCCACGGGACTCCACTGAGGTCACGACTAAGACAAAGTTAAATGACGATGATCCCGTGTTCGAGCGCGTGGCTACAAGTTAGGAATTAGCCATTTTCCATTGGACTCCATCATGACAGGATCATGGCTTGGGCGAGAAAAGTCTGCCGAAATACGGAGTAATGTCCCCGCAAGCTTAGACTCCATATATCGTGCTTACCTTGCTGTGTCAGCACTCTCACAATGACATAACCTTTCTTATCTACTAGTAGTCTCGTTGGAGGCCCTTCGCTACTGGTATCGCTTAATCTACTCCGTTAAGACCTACACCCTTACATTCTCGAGGACCATTCAGAATCATCTAACTTTCAAATTACTCATGGTGTTGATCGGTGAGGGACAGTGGGTATAGGAGAAGCTAGGAAAGTATATCTCCAGCACGCGTACCCACAATACTATACGACGGAGGACTGATTCATGTTCGTCGGTATCGTGCTCATGGATGATGGGTAGCATGCCCCCGCCAATGATTTTGTAGCACTTAGCTTGGAGCTTGGGCCAGCAGGAACAAGACTCTACAATTGGCAGTCTGGAGCCGAGGTGGAGCCTGAGCTCTTCCAATTCCACGGTTCCACCTTGCCATGATTATCAACTTGGCATCTACGGAGTACGCGATCGCTGCAGATTCCACATTTGTTGGTGGCTGGCTACACCTCCCGCAGTGGACCAAAGATCAGCTGGCCTATTCACCAGTACAATGATGATGACTTTCTGTAATGCAAGCTGACGATTAGACTTTTCCTATGCTGGTGGGTCGGCTGTACGGTACCACAGTGGTTAGCGAAGAATTACTCCGTAGCTACTTACAGATCCCTTCTACGACCCGAAGTCAATGCGCAGTTCCATGAACTTGAACAGATGGGAAAGTGTACCATCCTTGGTCGATGAAGCCCCCTTGACTGGCCAGTCTGAGCATCTCCACTGAGTCCACTCTCGTCCCAGGTCAACAGGATTGACCAAACATGATCCTTCCTACGCCACCCGCGGGTCTAACCCATATGGTAGGTAGTAGGTACTATTACTTGACAGCATCCGCGATAAATTTCAGCTGTGCAATTAATCTACCCCTAGACTGATTAATTAGTTTTGCTATCAATCGGATTCGGCGGCCAAGATCCACCCGCAGCTGTGGTAGCGATTTGACTCCATGCTGTGTTGCGCTTTTAAAGCTACTGCTCCGTACGACGACACCCAGGAAACTTCCTTTAGCATTTGTCGGTCCAGATTCTCCTCCGTTTCTGATCTTTGCTCACATTCTTTTATACCCCGCTTCGCGCCTTTTGGAGTTGCTTATCCTTAAATTGATCACCTTTCGTATCTGTTCATATACCATAATCATAATGTTGCGGAGATTTTCTACAAATTTCAAAAAATCGAAGAATGACCGCGAAACCAAGCAAAATGGAACTCAGGTGAATGGAGACAAGCGCCAGTCCAAAGTGTCCCCGGCGCGCCAGGCGTCTTCGGATCAAGAACCAAGCGGTAAGGCAACAGCGGATAGCGCGTCGGTTTTCGACAAGTATGCGCAAGTCCTCCATGCTTCCCAAAGCCCTCTGCCAAACCAGACCGGCGACGGTGCCACGTTTGAGCAGCACCATGGTAGTCTCATGAAAGACATCCAATCTCTTGACTACGAAGGTTTTACAACCGCGAAGGAGCTGGTCAGGACGAAGTTGAAAGGGGAGCTCGTTAACGATAAAACAATGCTTATGGAGAACATCATCAAAGTAAGATTACTCAATGACATGGCGATCTAGTGGGAGGACGGCATTTATTGACAATGATTTGTCTCGATGTAGCTCGTTAGCGGTCTTCCAGGAAACTCTAAGACTCGCGCCGAACTCACAAACAAATTCCTAAATGAGCTTTGGGACTCCCTGCCTCATCCCCCGCTCTCGTGAGTTGATTTGACGCAAGAAGCTGTTGACGCTCAATTGTGGTGGCACTAATCAGGATATAGATTTGTGGGCCCCGAATATTCCTACCGATCCGCTGATGGCTCCAATAACAACCCTACCTTGCCATGGCTGGGCGCTGCTAACACGCCATATGCGAGGTCTATCGCTCCCCTTACAATACAGCCAGGTGGCTTGCCTGATGCAGGCTTGGTGTTTGACTGTCTCTTTGCTCGCGAGAAGTTCACCCCTCACCCGAACAAGGTTTCAAGTCTGTTCTTCGACTGGGCCTCTTTGATCATTCACGGTGAGTTGACAATTATGGACGGTACACCTCCATGATTCCTTGCTAAGGCTCTACTAGATATTTTCCAGACCGACCCCAGGAACCCCCATATGAACAAAACTTCAGGTTACTTGGATCTCTCTATCTTATACGGTGATGTCCAAGAAGAGCAGGACTTGGTTCGTACACATAAGGATGGCAAACTGAAGCCTGATTCGTTTTCCGAACCCCGACTTCAGGCTTTTCCTCCTGCCTGCTGCGTTATGCTAGTCATGCTGAACAGGTCAGTCGTCCTCGCTTTAGCTACATGGTGTTTTGCTGACGAAGAAGTATGACTTAGGTTCCACAACCATGTTGTAGAACAACTGGCCGAAATCAATGAGAATGGTCGTTTCACCAAGCCTCAGCCTAACCCGAAACTCAGCGAAGAACAGCTCAAGAAGGCTTGGGCGAAATACGATGAAGATCTCTTCCAGACCGGTCGCTTGTATGTTTATCCCATCCCACTCAGGTTCAGGGCTTTCTAACATGCCACAGAGTCACGTGTGGTTTGTATATCAATATCACCTTATATGATTACCTGCGTACAATCGTCAACTTGAACAGAGTTAACAGCACGTGGTGCCTGGTGAGTTAACACTCTTGTTCTATGCTGCGAGGAAATCTAATCACATACAGGATCCACGAGCACAAATGGAGGGCAGCGATCCCACGCCATCTGGCCTGGGTAACCAATGCTCTGTGGAGTTCAATCTTGCCTATCGCTGGCATTCTGCCATCAGCGCCAACGACGAGAAATGGACGGAGCAGATTTATGAGGAGCTAATGGGAAAGCCCGCTGAGGAAGTTTCAATCCAAGACCTTATAAAGGGGCTTGGCAAGTACGATAGGAGTCTTTCAAAGGACCCCTCGGAGCGTACTTTCGCCCACCTTCAACGTCAAGAGGATGGCACTTTCAAGGACGAAGAACTCGTAAACATTCTCGCCAATGCAACCGAGGATGTTGCTGGTAAGTCCCCTACCCGGCGAATAAGTGTTGAATCATACAAGCTAAGCATCTTTCAATAGGTTCCTTTGGCGCACGGAACGTGCCCAAGTGCCTTCGGGCAGTCGAGATTCTGGGCATCAACCAGGCGCGTAGGTGGAATGTTGGCTCCCTCAACGAATTCCGCAAGTTCTTCGGCCTGAAGCCATATGAGACGTTTAAGGAGATCAACCGCAACGATGAAGTTGCTGAGGCCCTCGAGCATCTTTATGGGCACCCAGACTACGTAGAACTCTACCCCGGTATTGTTTCTGAGGAAGCCAAGGAGCCTATGGTACCAGGTGTTGGAATTGCTCCTACATATACGATCTCTCGTGCGGTTTTGTCTGACGCTGTGGCTCTTGTCCGTGGCGACCGTTTCTACACTGCAAGTTTGCCCTTTCCATGGAATAACAATACCATTCATCTAACATGCACTATAGGTCGACTACAATCCCCGGAACCTGACTAACTGGGGATACAATGAGGTTCGTTACGACCTGAACGTCAACCAAGGATGTGTCTTCTACAAGCTTGCCACCAAAGCCTTCCCCAATTGGTTTAAGTCTGATTCCATCTATGCCCATTATCCCATGACCATCCCCAGTGAGAACAGGGAGATTATGAAGGATCTGGGTAGGGAATCTCACTACTCTTACGAGCGCCCGTCATACACCCCTCCCCACGGGAATCTGGTGTCCTATCCCAATGTCAAGCTGGCTTTGGAACGTGAAGAGGACTTCCGCGTGGTCTGGAGCGGCAATACTCCGCTCGCCTCTGCTAAAGGTGGCGATGACTTCTGGAGCAAATCATTGAACAATGACCAGTGGCGTAACAGCATCAAGGAATTCTATGAAGACATCACTGCCAAACTTCTGAAAGAAAAATCCGGAAATCTTGCGGGAATTAAGCAAGTTGATATCACTCGGGAGTAAGTTACCCTGATGAACATTACGACCGCAGTACAAGAGCTGACCACGTCTATAGTATTGGAAACCTAGCGCCTGTTCACTTTGCCTCGAAGCTGTTCTCTCTTCCTTTGAAGACCAAGGAGAGTTCGCGTGGAGTCTTCACCGAGAACGAGACTTTCATGAGTATGGCAGTGATCTTTAATAGCATTTTCTTCGATGTCGATAAGACCAAGTCTTTCTCTCTTCATCACGCGGCTCGTGCTGTCTCTCAGCAGCTGGGCCATTCCGTTGAGAGTCACGTCAAATCCATTAGCTCTCCTGGATTCCTCAGCGGCATCATTGGACATCGCCACAATGACCACAACGCCTTGAAGGAGTACGGTGATCAGTTGATCAAAAAGCTTCTGGAAAGTGGCTTGGGTGTTTCCGATGTCACCTATTCTCAGGTTCTACCAGCAGCTGTGGCAATGGTCCACAACCAGGCTCAAATGGTACGCTCCATCTACTCTTGCTACACTGCTCGCTGTTAACACATTTAAATAGTTTACCCAAATCATCGACTACTATCTTTCTGAGGGCAAGAAGCATCTCCCTGAGATTAACCGCCTTGCCAAGGAGGACAGCAAAGATTCTGAAGACAAGTTGATGCGCTACTGCCTAGAAGGCTTCCGTCTGAATGGAACATTTGGATCCTACCGCGAAGCTCAAGCTGACTTCCTCATGACCGATGAGACCGGCGATGTCAAGATCAAGCGTGGCGACACAGTATTCGTTGGTGCTGTAAGTGACTTTTTATTGCCCCGCAAGGCTCGCGGCTGTGACATGGCTAACATCCAACAGGTCAAAGCCAACCGTGATCCTCAGGTCTTCCCAGATCCCAATGAAGTGCATCTGGACCGCCCTCTGGATTCTTACATCCAGTACGGTCTCGGCCCACATACTGGCTTGGGTAAGGAAACGACCTTGCTTGCATTGACGTCTATGTTACGTGTTGTCGGCGGCTTGGACAACCTTCGGCGTGCGCCCGGCCCCCAGGGTCAGCTGAAGAAGATCCAGCGTGAGGGCGGTTACTACGTCTATCTGCGAGAGGATTGGGGAAGCTACTCTCCATTCCCAACGAGTAAGTCGTCCCTGGTACAGCTTCTGGTATGCTAGGAAGGAAACTAACCTGCTCTCTCCGTAGCCTTCAAGGTCCACTTCGACGGTGCAATTCCCACTCCCAAGAAGCGCCTCACCTCCTAAATCACCATTCTTTTGGGGATTGATCTGAACACCGAGGCTGAATAACGTGTTATATTGTATTTGAAAATGGTTTTGCGAGATATCCTAGTTCTTCTGTTCGAACTTGTATGCCGTTATGCTTGGTTGATATTGACATCATTAATTATATACTACAAATGTAGCAACAGTGTTAGTTCCTTGTTTGTACCACGCAAAATTGATCACAAAGCTGGTTCTGGATTTGTTAAACGTATTCTCGGTATATTATTGGGGGTGTCAGGTATCTCAAACCATTATATCTTGCCCGTAATCCAGTCTTAACTATGCCTGCTCGCTGTAGTTCGATCGTCCATTTGCCCATCGCCCTTTTGGAGGATCCAAGTCCCTGTGGAACACTGTTTCAAGACCCGATTCATGCTACAACAGGCTCTTCCTCATCACCAGTCTCGAGCGTAGTATTACACGGCCAAGCCAATGCCATACCCTCTTGTCCCCCCCACCAAACTAATCCACTGTAAGGCCAACCCTCTTTCGCAGGTAGAAACTCAATCCCCAAGCACAAGTCAACCCTAAATGTGCAGCATCTCATAGACAGCTCTCCCCCAAACCCATGTACAGCCAAAGACAAGTCCTCTTCACCAAAAATGAGCACCTCGCAACCAGTCCTGGGAAATTAAACCACCTCACTCACCCATCTGACAGGTTGCATCCCATTTTACATAGAGCGCCGGACCCCCAAATTGCGGTATCATGCCACTCAACTCAGGTTAATGTCGACTACATACCTAGCGCGCTACCAGCTTCCATCTCCACCAGACACAAAGGGGTATCGAAATCGAAATATGACAGGCTGTACGCAGTTGGACAGTCTCTCTATGACCTGTCTTATCCTGATGGTTATCTTCTAAATCCCCCCTTTTTGTCTGGTTTACTTTGGGTTTGTTTCCCTTTGCCTTGTTTGGTACGTAGTTAGTTAGTTAGGTAAGTTACTATTGTTTTACTTAATGACCAGTGGGAATGGTTGTGGTTCCAATGAGCGGATTGCTATTTCAAAAACGAAGCTAGTCGGATACTATTGTTTTATAGTTGGATAATAGTTCGGATTTCTTTCCCGGTGTTATCCGTTGTCTTGCCCTCCGTATTTTGGATGGGGCGGTTAACTTCCAGGATCTTGCTGGATTTTTGGAGAGGTGGAATCACTAGCTGTAGGGAGTATGGAGTACTTCGGAGTTGAGTCGGGCTTCGTGGGTTGGGAATGGTAGCCTTACAAGAGGGTGATAGATCCAGCTGCAGGGGTAATACTGTTACAACTACAAGTCAGGAATGGGTTTGTGATTAGGAGGGCTGATCCACATCAGGTGGGGCCATTTCTTGCTTCCCTCAGGGCTGACGGGCAGAATCTTCGATCGGGAAAGGTTGAATGGTTTGCAGCGTCAGGGGTTCAAGCTCGATATCACCTGTCTGGCTCTATAGAATAAACGCGCTATCTATTTTTCTTAACCGCCCTGAATAATTCTCCACCTCGAAACGACCCATTGGGTACAGAGATAAGGGGTATACTAGGACCCTCGCAGAAAAAAACCCCCTATCTCATCGACAAGGTCCCTAGGGCTCCACTACTCCGTACAAAGTAGCGCGCATTAAGGCCAAGGGTACCGCCTTCTCAAAGAGCCTTAGCCCCATCGTATCGTAAACCAAATAAAAAGCCCACACCGCCTTAACCCCAGAGCGGAAATTGTTCCGGAGCTATTCACCGCCCGCCAACATCAACCTAGTTGTATTAACGCATCGGATCAGAAAAGCATCAACAAATATCCACCATTGAAACCGGTCAAATTCCAAGTACACGGTCTACCTAAAATGCCCCCCAAAGTCGCCAAGGGCGAGTACATCGAAACAGTACGTCCCCAAAACTCAATCCCCACAATCCCGCACGCACCCACTAACCCCCACCCCCCCCGGCGTGATAGGACACCGGGAACAAAATCTCCCGCCGGTCTCAAATTCATGGAACCCAGCATATCATCCTCGGCGGTAAAACGGTCATTCAGGGCGAAGCGTCATTCGGGGCGACTTGTACCGTACCTCCACTAGTTCCAGTGCGAGCGGTGACCAGGGGGGACAGCAGCCGGCGACGTCGTCGACCCCGTCCGTCGCTATTACCATCGGGCGCTATAGTTATATATCGAAACAGGCTGTGCTGAGGCCCCCGTCCAGGTTACATCGGGGCGTGCATTCGTTCTATCCGCTGAAGATTGGGGATCATGTTTTTGTGGGGGAGAGGGCGGTTGTGGAGGCGGCTAGTGTGGGGAACCATGTGCATATTGGGAGGGATGCGGTGATTGGGAGTATGGCCATCTTGAAGGATTTTGCATATGTCCTTGATGGGGCGGTTGTTGCGCCGGGCATGGTGGTGCCGAGTTGGTGCGTTGTTGGTGGTGCGCCGGCGAGAATTGTCGGGGAGGTTGGTGAGGGGTATGGGGTGGAGGGGGCTGAGGGGGGTATGGCTAGGGAGAGGTATCGGTTGGTTGGGAGGTAGAGATGGTTGGATTTGATGTGTGATGACTGTGCCTTGTTCTCTTGTTTTATGGTGTTGTTCTTATACCCCCCCGGTTGTTTAGAGTGTTTCTGTATAGATTTCATTTGAAATGGTTTAACCACATCTCGCTTACATCTCAAGAATTCATACATCCATACGGTCGGTCCACAAATGGCTTCTAACTACCTGACGTCCACGAGTGGAGATTCGTTCACGGTCATTAGTATCTACTTATCGAAGCCAGACCATATCATCGGTCTGGCTTTAGTGCCCGTTCAGACCATTCTGGGGGCAAAGCTCCCGCACCAATCTGCTTTCATCGCTGGTGTACTCTTGGCCTGCCTCGGCGCGAGCCATGTCGTTGATCCATCGCCCGTTCGGCTTGATCTCTTCGGACTTAGACAGCTTTGAAGCCATGTAAAGCCAGTTCAGTGAATTGCCGACGGTGCTCACCTCGTCGCACACATTGTTGAGTGCGAACTTGTGCATGCGTTCGTACAGCTCATCGTCCGTACAGAGGTCCAACAAATGCTGGGCCACTGCGTCGGTGTCTCCCACCTCCACAAGGAAGCCGTTCTGTTTGTCAGCCACTTGAAGAGGGATGCCACCAGCCCTAGTTGCAATGACTGGTGTTCCTTTGTGAATGGCTTCAGACACTTTCACTTCAAATCCTTCCCGTGTAGACAATTGTAGAGCCACCTTAGCCTTCGAGAGGAGGGCATTTAGCAGCTGATCTGACGGACCCAGTCGCACAACACAAATCTGCTCGGCGAGATCCGGGAGGTTCTCCTCGATGTGGGTGACTACGGCATCGTAGATCACCGTACCATCTGGATCATCAACAGAGCCGTGGCCGCAGATCAGCAGCTTGGGGGCCCGTCTGTCGGGAAATGCAGCGGTGAACCGCCGATGGAATTTCACGTATGATTCTACAACCTCTGGAATGCCCTTCGACGGGTCAAAGCGTGCAATCTGAGCGATATATTCATCTGTTTTCATGTTGCTATATGTCAGTCTACAAGCTTCAATGTAATTGGGCTGCGTGGGTGGCCGTATCGCACCTTCAGGGTAGTCAATAGTGGGCATGCCCGAGTTTCTGCAAAAGGAATTAAAAACCCGACCATAGTAGGCAATGTCCCATTCTCGCATGTTCTTGTTCAGGCCATCCAACCTAAAAGGGCTTGTCAGTCACATTCTCCAGTGACACTAGGCTGACACTGCCTTACCAGTCCGTCGATGCAGGCATGTATCCCACCTTCTCTCGGGGCACGTTCTTAGGCACAAAGGACTTCACAGGGTGGCTAATGTAGATATCTGCAAGCTTTATGTATTCCCAGAGTCTCCCCCAAGCTTCTGCCTGCGGGGTCCCCGGTTCGTCAATCAAGTCACTGCGAAGTTGGATGTGACTGCGAAAGATAACCGGTCGGTCCGGGGCAATTTTCTTCGCAATGGGAATCAACGCGGGCATCTGCGGATCATCAATGATAACCACGTCGGCTCCTCCATCTCTGGGGTGTTGCAGAGGGCCGCCGGGGATCAACCAGTATCTCTTCGCATTCTCATTGACCCACTCCGTCACCTGCGCCCAATCCTCCTCGCTCAACCTCTCCTCAGGGGAAGCGACACCTTGCAAAATGTTGTGGTTGTTTTTGGTTACACGGAAGACGCCCGGCCGTGGCTTGGGCACGTACCTAGACCACAGGGTCAGTTGACGTCTGACTACCATCCGAGAAAGCCAAGCAATTCTATGATTGAGTCTTACCATGTGATATCGGTTCCCAGCGAATACGAGAATCTCACGAGAGAATGTCTCATGAGGGCTACACCTCCACCTTGAGGGGTGGCACTGAAAAAGGCAATCTTTGTTTCTCTTTCTTTGAGATCATTCGCATAATGTTGAACTGCCCTCCAGGTCTTGGGGTAAACCGTCTTCTCAAAGTCCTCCAGGTTGGTCAAGCGCACATGAAATGCCGTGTCGACCTCTACTATACCAAGGAAGCCGACCTGAAGCAGAGGAATATTCTCTGGACCAAACAAACTAGACAGCTTCAGTATTTGTCGAACCACCGTGGACCGGGACCTATCTTACCGAACACATTTGCGGCCCATTGATTCGGCCTGTTCATCAATGCCTCTAACCTTCCAGGTCTTGCTGTCAGGAATGCCGAAAGTGAACTTGTCATCACCCTCCCTTCTACTTCCTTCGGGGAGAACTAGAGGTATGATATCAAGCTCAGCCCAGAGCCTCGAGCACAGGCTGGGGCATTGTTTCGCGATGCGCTCTGGCATTGCTAAACCAATGAACTTCTCCATATGGACGTCACTCCATTCTTGCAATTGGTTTATCACGAATTTCTCCAGCACGGGGCATAACGACTGGTCATCTTTTAGGGAGAGCGATTCTTGGATGAAGTCTAAGAGATAGGTGGTATCGCGAATGGCGATAGCAATAGTCACCGTTCCGTCCTCGACTAATGTCGATAGACCAGCGTAGATGGTCTGGTGAAATGAAGAAGTTAGGGCTTGCACAGCTCAACTGATGAAGTAGATATACATACCCCAGAGGGAGGTGCAGCCCAGGAATTGTTTTCATACTGTAGAGAGAGACGACGCTGCTGACGCAGAGACGAACGACGACGTAATATAGCGTTCGAATCGTCAGCCATTGCTTACTTGATTAATTTATGAATACTATAGCTGGACGAGAATGGATGCAGTAGGAAACGGTTTATGAAGAAAGTAGAAGACGGAGAATTGTTTAACGAGAACAAGAACAAGGTACACCAGATAAACTACATATATATGGAGAGAGGATTCCAACCGCAGGCCACAGGACTTTTTGCTTTGTTTGCTGTCCCAAAAACCTGGGGTGAATTGAGATTGGGATTAGGCGGTCCGGTGACCTCATGATTCTCGGCCCATGACGTACAGAGTACAACATCGCCCGTGACAGGCATCAATCAAGAATTACATGTTGTCGAAGTACGACGAGCACACACGCACATGTGCATCGGACCACGCAAGTCTCGCTATATACGCCTCATGAGGGAGCAGGGAGAAGAACAGAAGCACAAGCCGACAAGGCTCCCGCAGGACAGTCAGGGAATGTCACACCATGGAGACCAGACGTGGTTGCACCCGACGGAAAGGAAACGCTTCGGAGCTTTGAATGGCATGGGTATGGACAAAGTACAGCCGGGATCCAGAACCTGATCTCGAATTTGATTCTCTCGTGAAATCACAATGCCAATGAGGAAGATACTAGAGTACTACCGGGGAGGGGAAACAGGGGCCGTGGGGCCATGGAACCGGCACTATTGCCATCACGACGAACATGAACTGCTTACGGGTGAAACAACCGAGATGCTTGGCAGGAATCGCGGGGCTTAGTCATGCGGCAGCCCCTTTTACGGAGTCCGAGTTCAATTGCCCAGCGCGCAGACCCTCGTCGTCCCTCCTCGTGTGGATCGTCGCCTCTTGAAACTCTGGGCCCAATTAATTAAACTATTCATTTCACTTTCGCTCCTTCTGCCACATTCACTCTTTTCTTTTCTATCGTTACATTTTGGTTCAGCCTGTATTTTGCTTTTTTCTTTTTTCCCTCTTTCCTTTTTCTTCTGCCACCTCCCCTTCGCCGACAAGGTAAGTTCGGTTTGTCTCTTGTTTACCTTGCGTCCCCTCCTGCGACGGTCTTCATTGAGATCGCCTTAGTTGACGTGGAGATTGACAGGACGGAGTAATCGACCTTACAGCGGGATTTCTCACGCTTTTCCCACCCCCCCCCCCCCCCTGCTCGTGTTCAACCGCAATTGAAACCTGGTCCCAATTCCGATCGCAAACACGATCGAGAACTTCTGCGCTCAATCAACAGTAGCACTACCTCGCTTTTACGCTTTTACCGTCGGTGACCTTAGGAGCCAATAACCCCTCGCCAAAATGGGTGGTCAAGTTTCCAAGTTAATGGGGAAGATCTTCGGGACGAAGGAAATGCGGATTCTGATGTTGGGTTTGGATGCTGCTGGAAAGACCAGTAAGTCTGCACCCCTGAATCGGGTCACCTCGCTGTGTGCTATGGAAAGGATTAGAGAAACTGATGGGCGCGTGAAACAGCAATCCTGTACAAGCTGAAACTCACGAACCAGGAGGTCACTACCATCCCCACTGTTGGGTTTAACGTCGAAAGCGTAACCTACAAGAATGTCAAGTTCAATGTGTGGGATGTCGGCGGCCAGGACAAGATCCGGCCACTATGGAGACACTACTATTCCGGTATGGCCCATCACAATCCGCTCGGACAAACCAGCCCGCGACGATAAACGCTGACATTGTCGGTATTTTTGTAGGAACGCAAGGCTTGATCTTCGTCGTTGATTCCAGTGATACGGCCCGGATGGAGGAGGCTCGTTCCGAGCTTCACAAGATCATCAATGACCGCGAAATGAAGGATGCTCTTCTCCTAGTGTTCGCGAACAAACAAGATATTTCAGGCCGTATGTATCTCAAGAACCACCAGGATGGTGTGCCCACTAACTTACTCTCCGCAGATATGAGCCCCGAAGACGTTACCAATGCGCTCCAACTCAACAAGCTAAAGGACAAGCTATGGTATGTCGCGCCTAGCGTGGCTACCGAGGGTACTGGTATCTTCGAAGGACTTGTAAGTTTGGTCTCTCGACTTCCGATTTGCTCCATCAAGCTCTGACATGGAATTTCTCGCAGGCTTGGCTTTCCAACAACGTGAAAACACCGGCCCAAAAATAATTCCATCCCTTCCGCCCATCCTTTGCGCTGTAAATCCAGGAGCACCAATTGCATGGCTCTCGTGTATAACATTTCCTTATCTCGTTCGGCCTCTTTCGTTCATGTCCGCTTTGATGACAGAAGACGCAGCATTTGCAGTATGTTTAAATTTCACTTCGTGCGCATGCTTTGCCCATTTCTTGATCTACTTTTCGTTTCCTTACCTTCTCATGATATCCCTCACTGTTTCTATGCGGGCCATTTATATACTCTTCTTTTAATTAATTCTTCCCCCTTACTGCCGACTGCCTTTTCTCCTTTCGACGCATTGCTTTCGCATTGAGTAGAAACATCTTGAAATAGAGAGAATTTTGGACCAACATACACAAGAAACTTGTCTTACCCACGTCTTCGATTCGTTCTTGAAAATGCATACAATCACATGTACACTGACAACAAAGTGAAATCGTCCATACCCCTGATACCGAAGCCTTACAAAGGACCCCATGCTACCTGGGACTCGAAAACCGCACCTCCTGCTAAGCTTCACAACGGCCGTCCATATATCGAAAGCCAAGCCATATTTTAGCCTACATGCAAGGGTGGGCCGGAGCTATTGAAACCTTCTAGTATATACTAACCAAAAGTAATCATAATTACCGACCTCCTATTCCCATAACGAATCAAATTGATCCCATCTTCAAGCTTCGCACTAGTGTATGAAACAATCGCATTCAAATGAACAATGGGGGCCACCCATACGAAGAGGGCGAAACAACATAATTGTTGGAATGAACTGCTATCTAGGAATGTCAACTTGACACTAGTGGCACAAGTCTTCACCGTCTAAGTAGGTCTGCCACTCGTAGTATATCGGAGAGGCATATACAACTTGCCAAACCCCCTTTTATATCCTATACAATATATCAATCACCACCGACAAATCCCCGAACAGAACTATCAACTCATCTGCAAACCAAATATCCGGAATATCAACCAAGACAATGCTCTCATGTCACTCGCCACAGCAGCGAGGGTTGGTAGGAATTAAGAAATTGATCCTAAATAGAACTCGGCTGGAACAGAGAAAGATAGCTTTTAGCATGTTCTGCAAGATCTTCGCCTACAGTTGGACTGGCCGTAAGTACAATGCAGGCTAGTGGCTTGAGGGATACTAGTACTGACATAACCTTCCCCCCCCCCCCAAGGAAGGAAATCACGGAAAACATATACAGTTCCTCATCATAGAACTAAATTAACTTCATTTCGAACGTGGATCGAATAGCTCGACCATGGAGTAGCTATATGGGAAGATACGGGTCCACGTGACTGCTTCACTGGCCGTAAAAACACTCCGAAGTCTATACCAAGTCCGGTCATGATGGCGTGTTTGTGAGTTTGATTGTGGGCGGCTCTCTGGTTCCATCTTGGATGCATTAATTCGAAATTGCACAAGCCAGGATTGAAATACAAAGATGTCTAGTATGTTTGAGTTGCTGAATCCATCCTAGACACATTAGCAATACTGCGTACTATCAAGGGCTCTCGCCAAGTCAAAGCTATCCTGGGCCATTAACGTTAAGCCGAAGGTCTGTTTCGGAAATCCCGATTGCAGCGTTTCATGCTCGGACACATGACATCCCCAAAGATTCAACAGGAACGGAGAAGACCAGTCCTGGCAGGCTGACTGCACTATGCTTGACATTACATGAGAGGCTGCTAACAGCGCGATTGACGCTGGACCCACTAGCTAAGGATGTATAAATGGTGGCTTGATGTTGTTGGCTTCCAAGGTCCTCTCCTTATGATTACTATATTAACCACCGAGCAAGACCAGTGAACTTTATGAACTGAGTTGAATCATTTATTATTGATCAGGTATATACATATCCAGAGCTAAACCCACTAATCCCAATCGGGGGTATTGGTCAACTCTGTACAAAGACATAACTTCGTCACGTTCATACACACAAATACATCGCCGGTCACCCAGCCTGAGTGTGTCTCATTGTTGAAAATCGACATCAAGCGACAACCATACCTACTTAAAGCTCACCAGGCCAGATGTCATTGGCAACTTCCCGGACAAGCTTCAGCTTGGCAATCATGCCGTTTCGGTCAATGGCATTGCCTTCTCTGTGGCTAGCGAAACCACACTGTGGGCTAACACCGACCTGCTTCAACGCCTCTTCAACGGGGATGTTGTTGCCTTCCGCGATGAACTTGGCGGCGTCGTAGACGCGCTTCTTCATTTCTTCCTTGTCCTCAAGCTCAGGGAACTTGCTGGTCACGACACCTAGAATTACATTCTTGTGTGTAGGAAGTTCCTTCAGTGGCTCAAAACCGCCGGCGCGAGGGGTGTCATACTCGAGATAGTATGTGTCGACATTGAGCTCCTTGAACAGCTTGGTTGCAATACGGTCATATCCACCTTCAGAGAAGTGACGGCTACCGACGAAGTTACCACGGCAAATGTGTACACCAACGTGGAAATCGGCGGGACGCTTGGAAAGCAAATCGTTATAGAGTTTGATGTACTTCTCGAATGTCTCATCAGCTGAGATCACATTCAATGGGTCTGCTTCCCAGCCCGCGAGCATCTTGTCAGAACAGAAGTCTGCCGGCATTGTCAGTCAATTTTTCGCAATTCAACATAGGAACTATTATGGGAAAGCAACTCACAAGCCAGGTTGGGGTCATCAAATTGAACATTCCTGCAACCAGCGTCATAGAGGATCTGGAGCTCATCCTGATATGCCTTGGCGATATCGCCGAAGTACTCGTCATCAGTGGCATACACATCCTTCGGGTATGCCTTGCCCTCCTTATACCGCAAGTGATACCAGTTAGGAGCAGCAAGGGTCAGTTTGATGTTCTTGATCTCCTCTGGGGGAACAACGCTCGCCATGTACTTGAACTCGTCGATATAGGTGCTACCGACGTGCTTGATTTTGCCAGTACAGATGACACTCTCACCAGGCTTGTGTCCAGCTTCGAGGAAAGCAGCAACATCGGGGGCATAGGGACGGAAGACATCGGCATCGATGTCGTTTACTTCCTCAAAACCATCAAGTCCAGGGAAAAAAGATCCCCAGAACACTGGATACAAGTTCAATCGTTAGCATCATGCCCTTCTACACAAAACACCAAGTCCTCCCTTACTGTGTCTACGGTATTCTCCATCCGAGACGGCGGCGTAGCCAAGCTTCTTCTGAGTTTCAGCAATCTCCTTGATATCCTTGTTCTCGACAGCAGCAAGGTCAGCCTGAGAGACCTGCCCCTGTTCAAAAGCTGTCTTTGTCTTCAACAGTTCATCGGTACGAAGGAGCGAACCAAGGTGTTCGGCACGGAAAGGGGGGTTGTGGTGAAGCTGATGGACCATATTGAAGAGTCCTGAGACAATGATTCGGTTAGTATATATTGAGATGATCCAAATGTCTCTTTAGTTGGTACCTGTTGCCAAACGTAGCGATTGAGCAGTATTTTGAAAGACAAACTTGACAATCGCAGGAAGGGAATCCTTAAAACAGCATGGGAGGGGCACCCCCGAACTCGGACCCAAGCAAAGTAATTCTATTTCACATCGATTCGCCTTCGCCACGGCTTGAACCTTTCACTAATTGCCGAATGCTTCTACGTTCTCTGAAGTGCCCCACCGCAGAGGCTCTCTCCACATCCTGACTCGGGGAGGAGGTAGTGGAGCTGTGGAAGAGATATTGTCATGATACGGAGTAGATATGGTTAAAGTACGGAGAGAATGACATGAAGGTGTTGACTCTTGCCATCATGTCAATAGAGATGACTGGTGGGTGAAAAGGATATAGGATCATAGATTGACAGACCGGTTTTCCTACGCGGGAGGTAAGAAAGATGAGGCAAAAGGATCTAAAGATTATCTAGATGTGGGTGGGCCATGGGTTGACTAAGCTCTTGATAACCATGGTAACTAGTACCATGTTAGATGGCATTGCTTTCTGGAATAATTTCAGGTTTTTGCCTCTTCCTCTGTAACTGACTGACTGCTCTGCCAACAGTAATTGTTATACTGACCGTAAGTAGAAGATACAGCCATACCGCAGTTTCTACTACTAGTATCAAAACAGTATTTGCAGTCGGCCCTCTTGGAGTTAAATGCTTGGCGCGGACGCTAAAAAAGACCAACATTGGACATGTGGGGAATTTGTCCCAATCCAGAAGGGGGTTTTACCGCAATTCTCCAGAGCTCCTTGCATAACTTCCTCAATGATATTCATACCTTCCATGTCCCTTTGGTAGAACTCAGCCTTGCTACTAATACGAATCATCCTTACTAAACCTTCTTAAAGAGCTTCAAAGCGTGTTATTGGTGAGTCTATTGTTGTCTTGAGACTGTTTCCCTTATAACCTCCGGAAGGGTTGGCGGAGCTCGTGTGACGTATGTGGGGTCGCCACGGCAGTTGATGTCGGCCTCCTTTCCCGGCCATCAGACACAGTATATGACCTCCATCACACACATCTCTTAGTACGGCACGGAGATTGAGGCAGTACAGATCAATCACCCTGCTCAGTCGATGAAAATACTAGCACCTGCTCTCAAAATGTGATAGTCATGGGACACTGATTTCCTCTTGCAGGATATGCCGCATGCGACAATGGTCACTCGAGGATCATCATTGGAAGCTCTGCCGAATGAGCTTCTTGACGAGATTATCTCCAATCTGTCATATCCACCCCCTTCATTAGCCAGGCTACACCAACCGCCAAGCAGTAATATCGTCAAGTCGAGAACTCGGGATCTGAAGAACCTCTCATGCACCTCTTCCCGTTTGCTCGAGGTCACACGACCACGATTATTCTCTCATGTTTGCTTTGATCTCCAGGATGTAGATGAGTTTCTCTCCTTTATATCCGATTCAAGTCTAGCTCGACATGTAAGTTCAGCCGTGGTCAAAGGGCAGCACTCCTCGGACGATCGAGAGGATCCATTCTGGTGGCGCCGGGCATTGTCCTATCTTGATCCACTGCGCATTGCAGTGATTGCATCGCCTTCGTTTATTGGCAAGATGACAGGCGCACAGATATTCGAGGGACATAGCTGGGCTTTCCAAGCCCCACTTCAAATCTTGCAGTTAGAGCAGGACACTCGAAGCTCTGACCTTCCACCACTATCTCATCTTGGAAAGTGCTCAACGCTACTTGAAGCTCGATCATGGTCCTCCCTACTATTCAACGAGTCTTCTTCTCTCAAGGCTTATAACCACTATGAATACTTCCTATTCCAGGTTCCTTCACTGTTCAACACGTGGGGCTCATTAGCACACGTTAGACCTCGCCCACAAAAGTTAACCTCATCCCCCGCGCTGAGCAAGTTGACATCCTTTCGGTACACCGCCGTATTCCCGTTTTATAATCATGTCAAATTAGTCTTAAATGCAGTGGAGCTGATGGAGAATTTACGGTCACTGAGTGTCCAGTTAGCACCGTGTGAGGGCGACAAGGCTACCGAGCTAGAACAGAGGGGGTCTATGGACCCTAGTGACCCTTGGATGGAAATCGCTACAGGTTACTCACTTATCGGGCATTCTGTAAGTGACTTGGGCCGCAGAGGCAGCCTTGTTGAGTTTTGTGCCTGCGACTATGCATTCGACCCTCTACGGGCCGAGTTATCTCCCATACTGGAAGAACTCCTAGACGAAAGTGGATGGGCCCACAACGGTCAAGGAACGTGGACTAAGAAGAGAATATGTTCTGCTGCTTGTGCGCCAGCAACGGTGGAAACCATTGTGCAAACGGTCATTGCTTAACATATGGTCAAAGACTACGATGCCGGCCACCAAACCGCACTGGGTTTGTGTGACCGGGACTCCCGAGAACCGCGGCGATGGGCCTTTTGTATAGGAAAACGTGATGTATAAAGAAAATATATACAGGGCTGGGGGTTATTGCACATATACAGGTCCAAAATGGCCCTATTCTCTTATTTCCAATCAATGTATATGATATTGGTGCCTTAAAGCTAAGGCCCGAACACGTGGAATGGAGTTAATTTTCGGATGCAGTCTTTGCCTCTTGAGATCTACGATCCTAGTCCTAGTATGCCACACCTCAACCTCCAGTATGCACCAGGTCTGCTCAGTGGATTCTTAGTTAAATCATAGTGCTACCATAATAATTCAACATAACTGTCGCCAAAATAGTTTCTCTGTCAGGAACGACCTGTACGAGCACGTCAGACTCATTTCATTCTAATATGGCCTCTACTTCTACTCCCTACAGTTCTGCGCCTGCATTCCCAACTCTTGCCTATATTCTTTTGCCACAACCACATCACGATCAGGTCTCTATGCCAGGAACCTGGGATCTCAAGGATGACATTCGTAAAGCATTCGAAAGCCCTGTACATAGTGTCTTCCGAAAAGGAACCGTGATTGGGTTCTCAAAACTAAGAAACCAGGCCAAGGAAATCGATGATATGGAATTTTTAGGCCAAGTATTGAGCTCCCTATCTATTACGTTCTGCTCCTTTTCCGACCGTTGCCTCTTCCTAGTCACCACAAACATCAACTCAACTGATGATCGTCGCTTGCTAGGTTTCACGATCAATACTCGCAGCACAGCTGTGTAGAACCTCATTACCGTCAAGTTCTAGTGCAAAAACATATATAATCCACCCTGCAAATCTTGACATATTCTCTCCACACAGGCTCCTTGGGTCTTTGTTATCCGCATCTCGACAGTCACCCTTGTCGCGCGATGAAGCAATCTCACATCTAGACTCTGTTCAATTATTCCCTGTCTTTGATATGGCTGCCGCTGTACAAGCTATAGACGAAGTCTCCGATACTCTGCGTATGTATAAAGAGGAACGGGAACTACAGCAGACTCATCAGGTAGAATCCACAGGAAATAACGACTGCCGCGTTTTCCTCGTCATTGCCGGACTTGATACTCTTACCGAAGGTGTGGTCCGAGGTTCCTCCACAGTCAGAGGAACAGCCATTCTGTCAAATTTACTGCGGACTTTAACACAATTGTCACAAATGCACAGCTCTTATCTTTCCGTGATGCTTGTCAATACCAGCGGGCTTGGGACGTTGACGTCCGACACGCAGACTGCCCCAGGCCAGATGCAGCAAGGGAGAAATCCAGGGAACAACCCGTTGACTTCTCGCGAGAACGGGATTTACTCCATATTCCACGCAAGTGAGAAGTTGTTTCCTAGTCTTCTTATGCGAACATTGGAGCAGGGAATCGATACTCATCTTCTGTTATCGACTGTCAAATCCGCGCACGTGGTTGAAGTTATCAAAGACAGGGTAGGCAACGGCGTTGGACGATGGTGCATCTGGGACAAACAAATAAATTGAGCACTGGCCCCGAAAGATTACTTTTGTTTGGAGCTGCACATATATATCAAGCAGTCCATTTATTTGTATATATTATCAAATCTTACACCAGCCTCGTCGAAAATAGCAACCGCGGCCCAAACTACCCAAATGTGCACACCAACTCCGTATCAAAATCCCTGGGTTTTGCTTCCTTCCGCGAACAAGGGTATCATTTATGCAAATGACCTATAACAGCACCGCAAAATAGCACTATAATATCTCTGATCAGCCTAACGTTGGCTTCATTGACATCCGTTTTGGGCATTTTCTTTTTCAGCCCACATCCTGAGAACAGCTCTCTCCACGACGTTTTGAGCTTCCTTTTCACACTTTGTGAGATCCTGACCAACTGTATCCTCCTCGAATAAGATCTCTTGTTGTTGAACCTTGACCCATTGTTTGTGTCTCTCACAGCGCTTCTTGATACAAATCCCCCGAGACAAGCTGTTGATGTCATCCTCTTCTGTTTTGGCGCCATTCATGACGGTGTCGCCATCTGCATCAGTGGTATCAGGATAGCTAGACGCCAGCGCCTCAGGAGTGCCATCCTCAAGTGTTTTCGCCCCAACTTCCGATAGTCTCCATTCGTCGAACTCCTCATCAGACCAGGCTAACCGTGAGTCAAAACCGCAGATATCTTTCCATCCGCCTTTAGGTTCGGCTTGCTTCAATCGTTCTAGTACACTCTTGGACCGTTGACGGACAAGATTCACGAATGTGTTACGCGCATTGAGCATATTCTTGCGATGAAGCAGCTCATCACGTCGCTTGCGTAATTCTTCGATTTTCGAAGCCTCATCGGGTGAGTATGTAAGATCACCAGGAGCGAAATCCAATCCAAGCTTTTTCTTGTCTTTCTCTTTTGTGCCTGTCTCGGGGTCATCGGGTGGTAGCGAGACAATCCGTTCGCCAAGCTTACGAAATTCCGCCGCTGAAGATACATCCGTTATCACGGCCTTGAGATCACCGGCAGTTAGGATTCCACCCCTGCTCCCAAGGTCGTCCATCTTGTTCTCGGGGGCCGGGCTCATGTTGAGGTACTGGGTCTTCAGGCGCATGAATTCCCGACCATGCTCATCAGAACAGTATTTGCTAAGATTGTTATTGTTAAACCGAGCAGGCTTCCGACAAGAGGGCACGCGACACATTGGTTTCCATGTAGTGCATCCCTTGCCCTGCTCTTTGCAGTTCGGGCCTGGCTTAACATTAGCGAGGAACTGTTATCTCAGGAGCAAACACCAACATCATAACAGCAAGGAAAAACCAAACGAGAGAGACTCACATATATACTTGTCAATCAAGTCAGCATCTTTTGGATCGATGTTAACACACTTTCCATGAAACCAGTCGTCGCACTCGCCATCACAGGCAATCATCCATGTATGATTATCGGGCTTACGGCAGATACAGAACAGCTCGTTCTCATCTGTTGAAGCCTCTTCTTCGTCTTCTTCTTCTTCATCGTTCTCCTCTTCTTTCGCTGCAACTTTCTTCGGGGCCTTTCTATTCTTAGCGCCTTTCTTTTTCTTCTTCGTCCTGCTTTCGGGTGCTGGAGAGCCCGCTACAGATGCAGAGCCCTGCTTCTTGGCACCAGGGGTTTTACTGGTGCGAGAGGAAGGGGTGTTGGATTGATGGCCATCAACACTTTCAGTATCTTCTTCGGTAATCTTGCGCTTTCTGGCAGTTGACTTCTTTGCTGTACCTTTCTTTCCACCGCCAGGTGTTGATTTTCTACCTGAGGTGGGTTTCACTGAATTGGCAGGCGATGACCGATCAGACGACGAGGCTCGCGAACCTCGTCCATGTTTCAGATCGGTGATTTTCTTCGGTGTCGGGTGTTCCACGGGCGTGTTTACGCCATCAACCTGGGACAATATAGACTTATTGTCGATCTCATCGCTTTGAGGAACCTTGTCCAAAGTCACATTTGATGGTTCTGATTTAACTTGTGGCCCTGGCGTATCTTGACTCGCTTCAAGCTTGGAGCCCACTTTTGCGTTCAAAAGGTTCTCATAAAGATCAGCCCATGCTTCAACATTGCCACCAGCCGCCGCTAATGAAGACCATGTGGGCATTCTGAACCGTCGGTGTATCGTGTTTGCCCTTCCGAACCCAAAATATCCGCTGTGTCGCCAACCCATAATGCCCACGACTCGGTCATCGTTAACGATTATATTGGAAGGAGTCAGATTGTTGTGTACGAGGCACAGTATTTCATCTTCCTTATTCTCTTGGAACAGAACATCTTTCTCCATCTCCTGTATTTCGGGCGGTAGCAAAGAGTTGAGTCCACTGCAAACGTACGACGGGCTGTCGGGGGCAGGGTCGATACTTGCCATGTGCTCGAGGATCTGACGGCATTCTTGCTTGAACTTGTTAATTTGTTCGGTGCTAAGATACCTCCAGGCGACTTCTAGAGAAACACCAGGAATTCTGGACTCCACAGTGACATTCTTCCCATCAACTGTCCCACAAAAATGTATTACCGGAACGGCGACTTCAAGTGCTTTAAGAGCATCCTCTGCTTTCCTTGCTGCGCTCAATTCATTCGCGTTAGCGCAAGAGTACCTTTCAGCTGTTGTGTCGACCACATCGTCCTTGTCAATTCGGATTGTTACACTGCCAACAGAATAAGCCTGGCGGTCCTCTTGCAAGTTCATAGAATTCTCTGGGCTCAAATTCTCTTTCACTATGCTCTCCCAATGCGAAATAGCATCGGGGTCCGATTGCCACCAGTGATCGTAGCGGGGTTTGAAATCATCGTCTTGCGGAGCGTAACGACCGTAATGAGGGCTTTGCTTAAGGAAGGGGTCATCTTGCGGTATATTATCCGGGTTTGTTTCATATGGACTTATGACCGTCGTATTATCACCATTGGAGCCATGGGACTGACTGACGCCAGTAGGTGTGGGCGCCCCGCCAGCCATCGCGTAACTTCAAACAATGCGGTAGTTGCCCTGGCAAGCGATTACAACGATGTTAATCAACTCAATCCAAGGAATCTCCAGACCTTTACAGTCAAAAATCAGAGTTAATGCGAAGGAGCTAGATTATGTTGTGTCGACTATGTGGTATATGTTGGTCTCGTGACGCCCAGTAAAGGCATCATGAAAGCTGGCGCAAAGTCGGTAGTGTCAAAAATCACGCAGATATCGGGTAGGCCGAGAAATTTATCGAAGCGCCCATGTGTATTGTACCCTCAACGAACTGTTCTGGCAAAAGCGACAGTGGTAGTGACAGCAACGGAGTTCGGAGATCGATGCGGAGTTGCTGAACGCGCGACTGCGTGATATGAGGATGCAAGAGGGGATCAACAGATGGGGAAAACGACCTGAGGATAATCGAATCGAATAATAGTATCCGACAGGCTCGAGGCCGGGAATTGGAGAGCTGTGAGAATAGACACGCGTGGTCAACCCCCAGGTTGTACCTTTCGGGGAGCTCAGAATACTTTCAGATTTGCAATTCTGCCGCGGACTTTAGATGAAGGCGGTGTATTTTATCTCCGACGTGGTCGGGCGGTTTGATACATTTATCAACACAGAATTTCGCCTCTTTTAGTTTAGAGATAGTTGCGGTAGCTTGCCAACAGGCTGTGAACAGCTGTGGGAAATTTTAACGATTCCTAAACTCGCAGGCTTTATATGACTTACAGTCTACCGTTGAAACTGTGATTGCTTTTCAATGAAGTATGTACATTACATATGGATGTAATTGATGTCACCGAGGGGATCGGTTCGAGCCGGGGACGTTATACCATTTCGCAGGATCCCCCCTGATGCCAAATATGCAGGCAAGGGGTGATTAGCGAAGGGTTCACGCCGTTGAACATAACTGATGGCATAAGAACGTTTGTTTATCTGATCTACCGCCAAGGTTGAGAGCCAGTGTACTCTGTAACCAAGACTCCATTGGTTCTAACCATACCTACTTTCTTAACTTCGTGGCCTGGTTAAAGCTTAGACCGATAAACTTGGAAGTGTCCAGGAGAGCCATTGCCAGTCTCACCTGGCCGTTCAAAGAAGCTGCGCGCGGTCATTGTAGGTTAGATAGTACTGAAGATTACTCGAGGAGCTAATGCATGGGGCCAAAGTTAAAAGAAGCGACAGTTTATGGAGTCGAACAATGAAAGAGAGGATAGATAATTTCTCGATGAGAAAGTCCTCCAAAGGGGGGCCAAAAAGTCCAGTATTCGACCAGCGATCGTGCATGATACCGAAAGGAGGCTAGTAGTACGGAGTAGTATAGTAGTGGTAGTTACTACTAGTACTAACTACAGGATAGGAACTAGTTGCCATGTGAATGGTACACAGTACAAGTGTGTGGGGGGATGGATGATTGTCACCCAAAAATCAGGTACCAATTCCCACCCTCACTGGACCAATGCTACCCTGCGCTGTTATTTATGGGCGTGGATGATCAACTACTAGTCGTAGTAGGATTTATCCATGATCGGCCCATTCCCGAACGACACACAGCATTCGACCTGGGCGCAATGGTGATTGGCCCTAGGAGCAGCACCTGAATCTCGACGGGTTCTAGACGGATGCACAACCGAATCGGAAAGGACGGTGGTCCTACGCCTTTGGGTTTAGTCGCCCTTCTTCCCATCTAATCTCGAACTCTTCAATCCGTCGGCTTCGACGCTTCAAACCCCGTTACCAAACACCATCTGATTCCTGATTACTGATAATCCTGCGTTCAGCTTATTGCCACTTTTATTACTCTTCTATTCGATTCTCCTGAGCAACCCCCCCCCCCCCGGGGCCATCTCCACATCCTGGTTTCTCCAGAGGCGATTGTGAAAAGAGAGCGTCGCCTCATGTCATCATTCGACACCGTATAGTCTCAGCCGCATCGTTCTTTTCTGCAAGTGAGACGGCCGCTTCCAGGGCTGAGGAGGCAAACACAGATCAATTTTTATTTAACTACCTTAAGCCGCAGATCCCATTTGTTTGGAGGCTCGGACGTTTCCCTCCAACGGTTGCCCGTAGCTCCACATCCCCCCCCCCCGTGAACACTCGTGGACACGGTCCTCTATATAAGGTGACCGACAGAACCATAAATGAAGAAGATTTACTAAGTTTCTTTCTGAAACGCCAAGTCGATTGACTCCCCCGCGACATCTAGATTGTTGACATCGATCGTCTTGTTGTGACTTGTTTTCTGCTGCTGCGCCTTCTGACTACCGACTAGTCCACGTTCGGACTCGCATTTTGCGGGGGCCCAAAATAGCATCGAGGCTTTGCATGTTTCACAATGCGCCGGGGTTGCTGCCACTGATCATACGAAGTCCAACTCTCATAACAGCGCATGACGTACCATCGAAGAATTTCGCAGCTCTGACCCCCGAGTTGCAACCAAAAAAGTAAACACGCAATCGTTAGCAGTGTTGACCACACAGAGGGTTGACAGAACGCCAAACCATGTCAAATGTGCCTGACCACACGGATTCAGCCAAGCCTGCGACAGAATGGCAGTTCATCGACGCTTCCAACAACAGTCGGAGCAATCTAACCCAGGTCAAGCGCCATGTGATGCAACAATACATGCGTCAAAAACGTGCGTCGGGTCAGCCTAGTAATGACGCCGAACAGACGGCGGTAGAAAGCCACAATGCACCACGAAAGTCCACTCGACGCCCCAGGAAGGGCAGGACGTCTACAGGGGACACTGCCCAGAAAGGAAAGGAAAAAGACGCGAATAGCCAGAAGCAGAAAAATGCGCAGTCTTCATCAGCACAAAGGTCCAATATCAAAGTGGTTCCAAATCAAGATTTGACGGACGATTTGGTGGAAGAAGTTGAGCGAGATTTTGTTCCTGGCGTCATGAGCTACGCAAGTGCTGAAAGTACATCCCTACCGGCCAATTCTTTCTTTCAGCTTCAAGGTTATCCGCTGTCGCCCTATCTTCTAGACAAATATGTATCTGGAAGTCAGAGTAGTGGCTCAGAGTCAAGCAATTTATCCCCATGGTCATCCACACCAACTTCCCCATCTGATGTCACACTTTCTCCAAAAACTATCCTCAGTGCAGCACGAACCGACCCTTTCAACACCATGCCGATGGATCTTGATGCTGAGGGCCAGCGACTATTTGACTTCTACGTCAATGAGATGCCTGCATGTTCCTATGGTGGTCATTTCCGCTCTGCTAAAGCCCATAATTGGTACACAGCAGTCTTTGTTCCAGAAGGTATGAAAGGCGCCGTCACATTCCAGAACACTATTCTCGTACATGCAGCAAACACTTGGGCTTGGGTACGGAACGAGGAGGAGACTGACTATACACTTGTTCACCGCAACCGCGCAATCTCCATGCTCCGAGATCATATGACAAGAAATCCGGGCGATATCTCAGATGTTGCAATTATTGCATGTCTCAGTGCTGCAGGTCTCGAGGACTTTGACCCTCGTCCGGGGCACAAGGAAATTAGCTGGGTACACATGCGGGCTGCGAGGGAAATGATACGTGCCCGAGGAGGACCAGTGGCCTTCGAGAATACACGGTTGGGCATGTTAATCAACTGGCAAGATTATATTCTATCTGGATATGAAACAAATGGGCTAAGCTTCTTCTTCGAGTATAACCCTTCAGTCAAACGGTCTTTCAAGGCGCAAGGTCAATGGCAAGACTCGCTAACGCAAACATTCAATTTGACACCTTCCCCCCTTCCTTCAATGCCTTTGTTATCACCTGGGGATGCTCTCTCGCCCTCTGGATTAACCAATCTAAGTTCTTCGCTATCATTCCTGTCACCAGAGGATGAGATCAGACATCAGTGCGATGAGTTCATCGACTTTTTGAAACGTTGTGAGGAGCTCTCGATATCCCATCGATCTAACCGCGCCAATATGCCAGCTTTAGTGCGCTACACTGCGTTTCAGGAGACATCACTTCTGTATAGCATCCTTGCCGCACCACCCGGCCTACGCTTTACCGCTTCAGGCAACCGTAAACAATTTGTCGCGCGGCTGGTTGCACTGATCATGCTCAATGCAGCTCTTTGGGATTACCGAAACTCTGTGCAGCATAGCGAAACCTTCCTCTGGACACTAGAGCAAGCAGTACTAGCGAGTGAGGTTGACACGAGTGGATCCGTTGAAGCACTACTTCAGATCATGCTTGAATGCAACGATGGTATAACGATAACCGACATGTCTCCTTCGACATTAGGGAACCAAGGCATGCCCGATTTCACGCAGTATTCTCCTACTGCCAAAACACAGTACGGGCGACCTTGGTTTGCTGGCCGGATGCTCAAGGTTGCGAAACGACTTAGTCTGAACTCCTGGATGGTTGTTCACGACTTCCTCTTTTCATGTTTGACGTTATGTCTTGAGACCCCTGTGTCTTTGTGGGAACGTGAACTGCGGCAGGAGATCCTCAGTGCGCCTCTAACGAGCTATATAATGCCTGCTCTGGTAGAGTGACCGGATCGCTCCATTTATCCCTCTTTGGTATGACGCATAACTATATTTATCTAGCTTTGGGATAGATACCCTTGTCTGTTTTCATGTTCATGAATGTACTTGATACCCAACTCTTATATAGCGAGCGGTTACAACATCCGCAATTCTATTGTTATTATTATTATTATTATTTTTTAGAAAAGAGTCTATTATGATCTACATATACTGGTACATACTTTGGTCTATATCTACTATGACATTTTTGCATGGCAGCTAAGCCGCAGGTTCTCCCTAGACCAGTCGCTGTCTGCAGGGTTCGAGACAGCAACAACATCATTTTTAAGGTCCGGGACAGGAGGTGGAATATCATCCCGCGAGCCGGATGAGAAGATATGTTCGACCTCCTCAAGCGACTTACCAGCAGTTTCAGGGTAAAAGGCCCAAGCGATGGCAGCGGCCACCCAATTAAAAGCAAAGAAGCAATAGAAGTAATTGAAGCCCATGCTCGACCTCGCAATTGGCGTGCATTGCGCAAAGACGAGGTTCAGACTCCAGTTTGTAGCGGTTGCCAGCGACGAGCCGCGGGCGCGGATTGCTGTCGGGAAGATCTCAGACGGATAGATCCAGGAGATAAGGCCAAGGCCGGTAAAGAAAATTGAGAAGACAAAGAACATGGCAATCGCGGCACGGACAGCATCCGGGTTGGCAGATGGGTCGCGAAATCCGCCGTTGGCCTGGGCTAAGGCTGCTTCTATGCACATGGTGGCACCCATGCCGAGCAGGGAAGGTATGAGCAGCGTACGACGACCCACACGGTCAATGAAAAGCATGAACACGGTATTCCAAAACTGAGCTAGGGCTCCCCATATCCCTTGGAGCATGAGCGGGGTTGTGCCCTCCAGTCCTAGCGTCCTGTACAGGCCTGGATTGTAGTTCGAGATGATGTTGGTACCTGAGCATTGGGTGAACGCTTGAATACCGCATGCCAGTAACAGGCGATGGCGCCAGCGAGCCTGGGATAGCAGCTCACGCCAGGAGTGCACGGCAGAACGTCGTTCTTCGGCGATGCTGTCGTTGATTTGGGCGATCTCAGCGTCAATCATCTGAATATTCGACCTGTCCCGGTTTAGATGTAAACGAGAAAGGACCTCTCGACCGGCTTCAGTATGGCCTTTCTCGATCAGCCAGCGTGGAGACTCGGGAAGACACCAAACACCACCACAGAGGATTACGGCGGGAACAGCTTGGATGGCCAATGGGAGTCTCCAGGTGATGGCACCGGTGTGAAGGGAGCAGCCATATCCAGTCCATTGCTGGTCGGGGTTAGTAAGGTAAACTGGAAAGCTATACAGATGAATGAGATTGGTATGACATACAGCGACGACAATCCCCAACCCGATCATCCATTGTTGCATGGAGCCCAAAAAGCCGCGTATATGGGGAGGAGAAACCTCACTCTAAGGGGAGTCAGTCTAGTTCAAGAGCAATGTTATATCAACATAGGGAAGACATACACAGTAAACTGGAATGGCAGATGACATCAAGCCTACAGCCAAACCAGCAATCAATCGGCCTGCAATGAGCATGGCGACAGTTACGGCACCAGCTTGCAATGCTGCCCCCAAGCTTCCCAGAAGGCCTCCAATGAAGATGACGGGACGCCGTCCATACGGATCAGAGATGTATGAGACCAGAACGGAACCTAGAATTGCGCCCCCTAAATTCCAATTAGAAGGTGTTTCGCGTGCTAACGTCGTCTGTAGGTGGGCCTGTACCATTGTAAGAAGCGACTATACCACCCGTGGCGGCGTCAGAGGGATGATTAAAGCGATTCTGAAAATCCTCTTGGTCAAGGGTGGACGAAATTACACCGGAATCGTAACCAAAGAGAAAGGAGCCCAGCGTTGCGAAGACGCAGCAAAGGGTCACAAGATAGTAAGCCATGGGACAAAAGGCTGGACTGGTGAGTGATGTGCTCGGCGTTAGACTGAAGGTGGTGTGGCATCTATAAAGACCCCATTCGTGTATTCCACCGCCTTCTTGTATATTTCCATAGGTGATTGCTAACGGCTGATGAGATTCTTGTTAATGGGGGAAAGTACTTTTTTCTGACGTTCCGTCTGGTGGCGATGTCAGAAAGGAGGAAGAATGCCAAGGCAATGCATAAGTCAATGCCACTGCGAGTTAAAATGGGAGTAATCGGGTTGATTGAGAGTTGAACAAGACCTTGATTGGCAATGATGAGCACGGAGAACGTGGTAGAAGAGGGTTGAAATGGGGGGTTGCTGTCATTCTATACTTTCCAGGTATGTATGTACATCCATCCATGTTAGTTACAACCGATCCTGAGGATTCGAAATCCGCCGTGACCAGGGAATAGTTAAGGTTAGCGGTAATTCTCGCCTGACAGAAGTGGAAAGCCGTGCCTGAGGCTGCGCACGGCATTCATTACCCTAGCATTTCTTCAGCCTTACCTAAAAATTGGAACAGTTTTCCCACTGACGTATAGAGAGGCTTTCCGAGACCTCCAAGACCGGTTCCGGCGCTAGACCCGAAAGGGCGGGCGCTGGCAGGGCCAAGGAATCAAAGGATCGAATCGCCGTCAGCCACTATCAGATCGCCGAGGCCAAGTTTTTTCTTTCTGTTCCACTAGTTGATGGTCAGACCCCGACAATTACCTCAATCCCACTAATGAGTGATTATTTCATCCCTCCCTGACAGTGGTGCCTTTTCCCTTTTCACGCGGTTCTTTGCATATTCTGTCGTCTTCTCGGTCTTCTAGTCACGTTCTGGTCGCTTTCGCAGTGGATCTCTTGGTCTTGGAAATTAAATTTGACTTCTCTCGTCACTAAGTTTGTCTCCCACGACGTATTCAGCTCGCATTCGCTTTGCCCTCCCTGAGCTCATTGTCTCCACATTTTCCAGCCTAACTTTTCCCTCGTTCAATTACCAAGACATCCCCAAATTAAATCGGACCACTGTTTGGCTAAAACAGGGCTCCTAAAAGAAAAAAGGGAAAAAAAAAAAAAAAAGAGAGAGAACCCTTCCAGAATTATTCCGTATTAAACGCCATAGCTATTATCAATTTGATCGCGACGACCCCGCCGCTCCCTTGATCTGTTGGAGTCTCGTATATGGCCATCACTGGATTTCCGCGGATATTTGTTTGACTCATCCAAGAACACAATTACTAATTTAACAGAACCTCTCCTCCTACAGCTTCAGCACACCCGCTGTCGGATAATTACTTTCAAGGAAAACACAACCACCGAAGCAAAAAGAGCGTTTTTCTAGCCCAGTGATTGGATCCCACTTGCAATCCGTCGGAAAAACGAATCGCACCGTCGTCATTTTCTCCTACTGCTCGATGAACCTGTGAGAAACGTCAATTCCACCCTCGTGGACGATAACGGTCGGATCGCCACGCGGGCATTGCTCCTTGCTGATCAAATTAGTCTCGCGCTTCTTTCGTTCTCTCGGGACGCCCAGAACACATTCCTGATTCCACAAACGCACTTCAGTCGGAGCTCGCTCCCTTGCATGATTCTGCGCCGACCGCCTTAATCGATCCCCGACCCCTGGACTGAATAATCGCGCGCACTATGGGTACTCCGTCCAGCGCTTTCCATACCGCGTCGGCGGATAATGCGACGGACGATGATCCATCCGGCCCTTCTGATTCAGTTTTCTACCATGATGATGTAGACCCCTCTTCTCTTCAGTCGCAAGACCAAGATGGCTCAAGACCAGCCAAAGAGTCCCTCCCCATGCAGAAGAGGCGCCGTGTAACCCGAGCTTGCGATGAATGTCGACGAAAAAAGATCAAATGTGATGGGAAACAGCCATGTACTCATTGTACCGTATATAGCTATGGTCAGTCACCACCCCTCATGTTCTCTTCGTTGTGTCTTTGCGGTCATTCACCATATGCTACCGTACACCATACCGGTCTACTTTGCGTGTTACTCACTTCCCTCCCCATCGGTAGAATGTACCTATGACCAGCCATCGAATCGTCGCCGTAATCCGGCCCCTCAGTATGTGGAGGCCCTCGAGGCCCGTCTACACAAGGCCGAGGCTCTCCTTCGAGTCGTTCTTCCCGACATCAACCTCGACGATCCCCGGTTTGATGAGCATGCTACTGAACAAATGCTAGCCGCCGTCAAGCGCGACAAACACCAGCCACATCAACCGCCCGTAACCACCAACGGCTCGAATCCCCCGCCCGTTGCTGCGGGCCCAGCGGACGCCCCATCAGATAACTGTTGCGGCGAAGAATCGTTGCTCGAATCAATGGTGGATAATTCAGGCTATCTGGACTTGGACGATCAGGGTCACTGGGATTATCATGGGCACACCTCCGGCATCACATTCCTCCGACGACTTCGAAAGCAATTGGGCGCCGTTGATATCTCGGCGCCGGCGATGCGATCGCGACCCATCTCACACATGTTGGACAGTCCCAAGTCGGCATCAGAGTCCCCGCAGGATACATTACTACCGCCCACTCATGACCTGCCATCACGCGATGTGGCACGACGTCTGTGTCACAATGCCTTGGAAGATGGTTGTTCTCTGATGCGATTCGTTCACGAACCCTCGTTCTACGCCATGTTAGATCGGATCTACGATACACTGCCTGAGCAGTATACCAACGAGGAGCATGCATTTCTGCCACTCCTCTACATTGTGATGGCTGTCGGTTGTTTGTTCTCAGATGACGGGACGGGTACCCTGGATCTCTCCGGTTATGAAAGCGCCATCGGCCAAGGGTATGTCTGTCCTTGGCACTAAGGTATTATATTTGCTAACTCTAGCCAGGTTTCAATATTTTAAGGCTGGTCGGCAGCTCTTAGAGATCACCGACTGCCGCGACTTGACCTCCCTCCAGGCTATCTGTTTCATGGTATTGTTCTTGCAATCGTCTGCCAAGCTGAGTACTTGTTATTCATTTGTCGGCATTGCCCTTCGCTCTGCCCTACGCCTGGGTCTGCACCGCTCGGTATCAGCCAACTTCAACCCCCTCGAACAAGAGCTGCGGAAACGCATCTTTTGGGTTGTTCGGAAGATGGACGTCTATGTCAGCACGCTTCTGGGACTACCCCAGATGCTAAGTGATGACGACATCGACCAGGAATACCCAATGTCTATCGACGGCGAGTTCATCACTTCGGATGGCATCTTGCCCGCACCGTCGGATTATACGCCTCTCATGGCAGGTGCCAATGCGCACACACGACTTTCAAGCATCATGCTCAAAGTGGTGAAGTATATCTATCCGGTTAAAAACGCTCAGCACCGGTCCAAGTCAGACCAACGTTATGTTGTAAGTCATTCCAAGATCCGGGAGATTGAGCGGGATCTCCAGGCTTGGATGGAGGAACTACCGGCGGCTTTACGACCTGGGACCGAAGTGTCCCCTCAGCTCGAGAGGTACATTTGACCCTCTCCACTCCTTTGTGACCCAGACTAACTTTCTGTAGAGTACGACAATTGCTGCGCATTAGTTATGCCCATGTGCAAGTAGTCATGTACCGCCCTTTCTTGCACTATGTCTCGAGTGGCTCTCAGGCCCGGGGCGTTGATCGGCGGTCCTACGCCTGTGCTGCTGCTTGCGTTAGCGTTTCCCGGAACATCGTCCATATAACTACCGGTATGCATAAAAGAGGTCTGCTTAATGGGTCCTACTGGTTTACCATGTATACCACCTACTTTGCTATCTTGTCTTTGCTGTTCTTCGTGCTCGAAAATCCCGACTCTCCCACGGCTAAAGATGGAGTGTTGAAGGATGCTATGGAAGGCAAGAACACTTTGACAGGACTGGCAAAGAAGAGCTTGGCGGCGGATCGGTGCTCCCAAAGCCTCATCTGCCTTTTCAAGAATCTTCCTGAATTATTAAAGAACCGCCAGAGCAAAGCGAACCCGGTGAATCTAAAGCGCCCTGCCCCCTCCAGTAGCAACAAACTGGGTAATGCTAAAAGCCCTACGGCCGCACCTGCGATGCCTCCTCCGCAGAGAGCGAGCACATTCCCTATTCAATTATTGAACAGGTCGACCAAAGAGGCCAGCAATATGCCCAAGAGCTTAGACGACAACCATCCCCGCCATAGCCGATCGAATTCTCGTCCAGCGAATACACCTCCCCCTTGGTTTTCGTCCACACCCGAACCGTCCATGGATGCCATATCAACCCCGTCCGAGACACAGGCCACTGAGTCCATTGCTGCCTCATCAAACACATCTCCCCTTCCTGTGTCCATGTCCACGCAAGATATGCCCTCGAGTCCATTCGTTGCCCAGCAGTTCACAAACCCAACCAACCTTCCTGATCTTATGCCCATCATGTTTCCCTCTGATGATCCTTTTGCCTACCCTACCCAGCCGATGTCCACCTTGGAGAATGACCATTTCCGACAGGACGGCGGGGCCATGCAATTCGGGCGGGATCTCGCGACACAGCGATCGGTGCCGCCTTCTACTGATCCCACCAACGCCATCGGGGTATCAACTCCGACTCTCGATGGCCTGGGTAATTTCCCCTTGTTTTCCAACAACAACACCCCAACACTCATGAATGCTGCTCTCCCTATGCGCCTAGCAAACCCCCCTTCCGTGAGCCAGTCACGGTTACAGTCGCCTGTTTCACACGCATCTACCCCGACGAGTGGGGAGGCAGTTAACAGCCCTGATCTGGTTTCTCTTCCGAACAACAACTTTATGTGGCAAGGTTACAACTTCCAGCCGCCAGATGTCACCACGGAGCAGTCAATGCAGCCGCCGATGCCTTCAGGGAATGTGCAGAACTTCGGCATGGGCGTTGAGGACAACGCCATGGGGATGAGCATTGATTTAGGGATCTCGCTGGACGATATATTTGGGAACACCGATGCGTGCCGAACTGGCAATGGACTTCCCAATGACGACTGGATCCAATGGATGAATGTCGGAAACTGACTTGGTATGATACCTTTCTTTTGCCATTCCACGACGATAATGTAACGAGCAACGGAGTACGGATATTGATGCGGCGTTTGTGGGTTTCGTATAGTTCTGAGTATCATTATCCGTATATAGATGAAATGTCATGTTGATTTGTACATACGAGGCTCTCACGGTATAGAAGTGTCTATTTAGCATAAGATCTAGGTATATTTTATCTGTATATGGTACACCTATAGTACAATAACTCCACCAACCTCTAGCCAACAAAATCAACAAACCCATAGAATGCACGGGAAAAAAAAGAAAAAGAAATATCACACCCTCCTCCTTTTCGGCGGTTGATGCCAACTCCAAATATTCAACCCAATCTTCGTCCCCTCCGTCACCGGAAACGCGGCATGCCACGTCTCCAAATACCCACTCCCATCTGGTCTCAGATTCTCCCAAAAGATCGCATTCCCCTTGATCGGCCGAAACGTCACCCCCTCCGCCTCATTCTCACACTCCACAAACCGACACCACTTCTCATCCCTCGGCCTCTTGAACCGCGGGAAATTCGTCCCACCGCCCGTACACTCATCCCCGAGATACACCATGAACGTACTGGCGCGGTCGCCGCCGCGCGCGCTCGAGCCCGCCCAGTCATAGTGGTGCCGGTAGTGGCCGGAGGCGTTGTACCGCTGGGCCCACATGCGCTCGATATACAGGTGCGGTTGCCAGCCTTGGAAGGCCTTTGCGCGGTTCTCGAGACAGCGGACGGTGTTGGTGCGGGGGAGGAGAGCGCGGTCGGAGAGCCGGGTGTTGGGGTCGACTCTTTCCGTTGTGCCGTCGAAGATTATGGAGGGAGTGTACGTTTCTTGGCTATTTTTTGGACGTTAATACCTTATTTTTTTTTTTCTTGCTTTGGCTATAAGTAGGGATTGGTTTGGTGTGGCGGTTGGTTATGCATGTATATTCAATTTCGCAGCGCAATTGATTGAACTGGACTCACCCGAGCTCGACGAGATGGTCGGCTTCCTCGGAACTGAGGAAATCCTCGATGTAGATTACCAATGGGTCGCGACGGAGGAGATGAACCCGGTAATTGTCCGGGTGACAGGTGGCTTCAATGCCATCATCTAGACTGAGGATGGTGCCGTTCAGGATTGGACCTTCGAGGTCGGCGGCGTCATCGTCTAGGTCGAAGGCGATGTCTTCTTCGGAAGGGGGGAAGAGTTGGCGGAGGGCGGGGGCGATGAGGAAGATGTAGATCGGGAGGAGGTAGAAGAGAGAGCCGAGGATTGTTGAGAGTTTTAGCATTCTTTTCTGGGCGGAGAGAGATATATATACATGGAGAGGGAAGGATGTGTTTTTGATCTGGAAGGGTTTAATCGATATACTCGCGGTCCAGAACATGTGAGCCCGGCTGATCGCGGATTTGCTGGTTCGGGTTTAGGGTGGCAGAGTGGGACGTTGGACGTTGGACTAGACTGGATGGGGAAAGTATCTTCTATCGCTGATCAACTACGAGTATTTTTATACTACACAGTACATACACCCCGGCGAGTCACGGTATATGCTGTTGGCAACGGTCATAGGATGCAAGACTATGGCCTTCATCATCGGCCTTGACTCCACTGAAATGTCCCACGAAGTAATTTTCCGTCGAACCCAAAAGGACTAGCGCATTGCCATAAGACATGTATGGGTTTATATTTCCTGCAATTCGGGGATCCACATGGCGTTAGCCAAGGGAGTGCTCATATCTGCTATCTGGGTTTGGCCCGATAGTACAGACTTTCTCCCAAGTTTGTTTGTTGAAATCTCTCTGCACACGAAAGTGCGATAGAGATACAGATGTGGGCAGTTAATTGATCCTGCATCTCTTTGGTGTAGTATTGTCGATTGAACAGTACGATTAGATAACCCAACACCGCTCTGTAGAACGAGCCAGGTACCTAGCACACTCATCGCCACCCTTCGGCGCCTTGAATGCACCCAGCAAGGATAGGCACGTATCATAATCTCAGGCACTGACTGGGTCAGGATGCACACAATCCGTCGAAACAAGACCCTCGGGAAACCTCGTAAAAACAACAACAAAACAAGTCCCCTGATATCATCATCGAACTATATCCCATGCTTCTCTGGATGTGATTGGGATTCCGTGTACTTCGTGAGCGTCATAGCAGTATCAAAAATGCGCGCCACTAAACCCTATTGTCCACAAGGAAGGCTAGTACTGTACTACCTTCGTTGCTGTTTCCCCACTCAATTCCTGGGGGTATTAAAGCGAGGATTACCATAAGTGTACCACATTTCATATCTAACCAGCCGCATTCGTCTTCTACGTGGTTTGTCCTTGTTCCTTTCATCTCGAGGCAGCGCCTCCCCCTTTCACGGCAGCTCACCACCGGCCAAAGAACTGAACACTAACTACCACAGAGCCCGAATCACATATATATCAAACCATAATGCCGACCTCGAAGACCGATGCAGACCTTCGCCTCCCCGACCCTGCCGCTCAGCAACGGGGGCTGCAAAATACGACTCAGAACCAGGCTGCGACGTCGAGATTGCAGGATACCTCTCGCTCGGCCGGTGAAGCCCAGGGAGAAGACATGACTTCGCGAATGACGCTACAGGAGCTCCTTCAGACTAGAATGGACAAAGATGGCAACCCCGTGTCAGACCCTGTTGCGTTCACGGATGGCGCCAAGATGCAGGAAAGCAGTCAAGCCCTGGATGAGGCGGATCTAGTCGATGCCGCTTATTATGATGATTTTGATTGAGGCAAAATTTTGGAACATGTCGCTGTGCTGGTTTGAGAGCGTGTTTTGGTGAAGTACTCATTTAATTGTATATTATTGTTCTGATTTGTTACACTCATTTCACACGGTCGGTTTCAATACTACTTCATTCTGGTCTTTATGTCTGGCAATCTGTCGTGACTTCGTTAAAATAGCCCTTGCCATAACTTAAAGTTTTCACATACTCTTCACCTCACATAGGTAATTCCTACAGATCACCGGAATAGGTAGTCCAAGGGGTACAAACCCGAGGGGGCCTTCGGGGTCAAGACATTGTCCTTGGGAACAGCAGCACATAAACGCGAGACCACTCCACGGCTCGATGGTCGCAGATGTGACATCAGGAAACCCTGGAGAGTTGTGGATAGCCCCCTCTTCCTCTGATTTCACTGGTCAATACCAAAGTTCCAAGAACCCCTAACACGACTTTGGGGTTGAGTGGATCGGCCCATGTCAGCTTTGCGTACCTATGATATAAACGCGCCTTCCGCACGCCACAAGCGAGATAAATATAACATCACGTGGAATGGCAATTGTCATCAAAGCATCCCCAATATCTCGGGTTTTTGTTTCCACAGGCCTAGTTCCGATGCCCTAATGTATTCGCATTATGATGTAATGAGTTCGCCTCTCGCATGCCTAAAGGCGGTAATATAGCCATGTGTCCATACTGTGTCTTGGACCAGACCATGGAAGAGCCATCCCAAAAAAACCATCATCTAAGATCTCTCCGACGGGATATGAAACGACCGTGGAAGAGTTATTGAACGACATACTGGCCACACAGGAGCGGATTCTTGAGTCGCATGATCCAGTGAGCTGAATGGAAGACTCTAGAGTTATTCAGGAGTGGCTTGATCGGGTGCAAATGACTATAATGCGGTACGGTATTACATCGGAAGAATATCTACAATCTTGATAAAACTGGGTTTGCTATGGGCTTGGTAGCGGAGTATCATAGAAAGCCCTTTTGAGAATGGGTTACTTCTATTGAATATATATTAACTCTACTGGGTGGGTACTTCCACCATATATTATCCATAAAGGGAAGGTCCAGATAGAGGGCTGATTCCAAAATCCAAAATCCTGAGTGATATATTCCTTAACCTAATAGCAACAACACGTTCTCTTCATTGGTTATAGATATTGATTGTTCGCCGGCTCTCTACTACTAGTAGTTCCTTTTGCAGCATCTTTCCCTGCCGACGCTCGAGCCTACGGCCTGTGACTCAAACATAAAACACAGCGCACCTGAGACATGGCTCATGGAGGATTACACTATTGCAGTTTAAAGAAAAGTAAATCCCCTTGTGTTAATTTGTTATGAGCGATACCTCTCACACTATCTGCTCCAGCAACATCTTTAATGGCCGATTCTTTCTCACTACCAATAACAACTGTTGTTGCACACAAGATCGGAATAGCCATTTAAAGAATTCCTACCCAACACTTTGCTAAAAGGAAAGTTATCCAGATAAACTGAGTGATTGTGTACCACTGGCAGCTACTCCTCAACTGGGATGCGTGGTAGCCCAGTACTACTAGTAGTAGAACGTCTAGCCTTCCTCACAAATGATTGAATCCCAGCAAAAAAACGGAAATGATAGTAGTATTCCGCAGATGATTTATAACTAGACTAGATAAAAGATACACCATTGAAGTTCTAGGATTTCTTGTCTTTCCAGGCGGTTACCCAACTTATTAAATACTGTATAGAAGACGTGGAGAGCATCAATATTTCGAAAACCTGGACCCTATACGGGGCAGGGTGCTCCTTTAATCCTTCACAATATTGTCCAGACCGAAAAGCGCTTAAAAGATAAATCTCAGACCGGCCAAAAAGAGGCGGAGCCAGTCATCCAAAATTAAAGAACTCGAAGTATCTCACCATAGCTATTGAACCAATTGTGGAGAGGACCTAGAGCCACCCGAAATTGGTAAATAATAAAATCAAAAAGAAGAGGGAAAGGTATAGACAGCTTGCAACATATTGCAAGAGATGGTCTCTTTTTCTACGAAGAGAGTCCCTATTGCAAAAGTGGAAATACCGAACGCATCAGAGAAGTAAGTGCCCCCCCCCCTTACTTCCAGAACAAACCCGTTGACTTATGCCCCGCAATTTCTCGTTTACGAGGTAGATGCGGAGTACATTCATGGCTGGCGCATAATATATTGAGAACTAATGCACGTACTATATTATTACGGTGTTGAGGCTAATAATGACTGGCTGAGAGCCACTATATATTAAATCCTCCGGATTTGAAACTAAATGGTGCTGTCAGCCGGGATACTAGTTGCGAGTGTAATGTTAGCTTACAGGCTGCATATATATAGATTTGTTTAGTCTTTTCTTTTCAGAGAAGACCAAGTGTATTCAAACTCTCAATCAAATAAGAGTAATTCATTGGCAGAGTTCAAATATACGAAGAAACCATCAACGGGATTGGTTTTCTCCGTTGAACGCAGGAGATTCTCCCGAAAACATACCGGTATCGTACGGGACTGCACCATGACAGAAGTGGTCGATATTGAACTTGTGGATATATAAATGGAAAGGAATCTTAAGTTTCTATCCGTTGATGAGCAACATATACCAGAGTAAGAATCGTCGTATCGGATACGCTTACTACCACCCGTTCGGACCCTAGGGATAGCACCCAGCCCAAGGGTTCAGTAACGTAGCAAGGGAGTGGAACGGAATGGGCAGAAGCGAAGTAGGCCGCGTATCGTAGGAATGATCATACGAGGAGGAAGATCAGGCTCAATACGAAGTACACTATCTAAGTAAGAGACGCCATTTAGTAGTGCAGCTTGCCAACTTTACAAACGAATTCCGGTTTTCTGGTTGAGTGACATGGTTATTTCATGTGAGAAATTCCCTTAAGAACAGCCTTGTGTGTTTTGCTGCGGTGAAAATGGTTCTTCCATCGTCAATGATCGTATTCTAACAAGGATTCCGGCCACAAAGATATCATAGTACACCGATCCCGGTAGAATAAGTATCGGGTACGGACTGCAGCTGACGGCGTCTTCTCCCTGAGCCCTGTCACACGCTGTTGCAAAACTTAGTACCGTATGTATGTGCATACTACTACTACTACTACTACTACTACTACTACTACTAGTAATAAGGGCCTACGGTACTATACAACAATTTGATACGTGTATTTCTTACAGACAAACGATATACCCCTGTACCATACTAGAAATGGAATAGACACAGGGACACATTCCAAGAGTTAATCTTGATAGACAACCAAGATTAGGAGCGGTTTCGACTTCGTCTGGATCTCGGTGAGCGACGTGATTGTCATGCCCAGAATAGGTTGAAAAGAAAAAGTGGGCTCAAGCATTAGATAAGGATGGGGACATGCGGAGGATGCACCTGTGTTGGAAAGTGAAACGGCAAACCTCTCAAGTTGTGATCTGGATTAATGCCGGTTCTCCTTCCAGAAGCACGTGGGACCCCATACCTTAACTTTCAGACTTGGAATCCCTTGGCAAACGCTCTTTCAACGGAGAGTACTTGACAAAGATGAATGTTTGTACGGTGCTTATGCAACTTAACGTATTAGAAACGTAGATGTTGAACTATTGGCTAGCCCTGTTCTTTGTTTCATCTCCTTTCCCCCGTTTATTTTCTCCCCGGCTCTCGTACAAGGTCGCGTTCAGCCCTCTTTCCATAAGGTTGGACCTTTCTGGGATAAAGTTTAGCAGCCGTTCAATAACCTCCAAATGCCACAAAGCCAAGGCAGCAAGATTATTAAGTCTGGCGCCAAGTATAGCAGTCTCGATGCATCATCTTGGCCACTTCCAAGACTTCCACGGAGCGGGAGACCAAGACAGGGAGGTGCCAAGAGAGTATCCGTGGTTACCACTGAAAACCATTTCTGAAAAAGCACTCTTGGCCCTCCCCCGTTTGTGGTCGAATATGAGGTAATTTAGCACCGGCTCCAAGCCATCGTTGGTTCCTTTGATAAGGCCAATCGTGGTTCGATTTTCAGGTAACCGCCCGTGATCTCGTTTAAATCTCCCCGAATTCGACCCAATCAGGTTAGCGATACCCCCATCTTTCCAGGGTCTGATTGGCGCTAACCCATCACTTTTCATTCATGTGTAAGCGGGGCCCGAGGGTCGCAGGTCTCCGGTAATGATGCTGTATGGTACGTTTCAGGTCGGCTGCCGATCGAGTCCCCTTGGTGACATGTGGACACTATATTGGGGAGTAATATTGAGTTAGGTAGTGTCATTCTGACGGAGGTATCATTCTGAGAAAAGAATCCATGCAGGGGATCAGTTATGCCAGGTGTTCTTTTTTCTTTAATTTTTCTCTCTCTTTATTTATTTTCTCTCTCTTTTGTTCTTGCTTTGCTAAGAGCGAAAGAAGAGAACAAGGAGAAAAGTGGTGGCCTAATTTTCCTGCACGTGCGGTATCGTACCATCCCAATACGGTAAGTAAGGAGCGCCACAGCCCCGCATCATTCTTGGCCCGGTCTTGTCGTCTTGTCCCTGTCCTCCGCCGGGCTGTGCAAGCGGTCTTTTCTGGGCAAGGCTCGGCTCCGGATGTCCGCACAGGACAAGAACCCAAGCCTCCCCCTCTTGCTTCCAAGACTTCCTCTCTTCTTATCTCTCTCCATATTCCCCCCCCTGACTTGTCCTGTCTGTCTTTTCCCAGTCTTTCCCTTCTCTCCCCCCTTTTTCTTTATCTCACCTTGTGTTTTCACAACTGTTTCTATATTCGGTAACGCGTGTTGCATTGGTAGTTGTTGTCAATAGACAACTCATCGCGTCTTACCTTTCCTCATCCCTGATCTTCCTTATTAGCCAAAGATCCCTTAGCTTGGACATCTTTGGTTGTCTATTGAGGGATAATTCACTTGGTTCGCCTTGTATTGAGTCCTTTCACAACAACTTCCGCTCCCAAGAAAGGGACAAGAAATTTTCTTGGCAATGTCGGAACCCCAAGACACCACCTCCCCTTCGACTGCGGCTGCTCCTATTGCCGCGTCGACTGCGCAGGAGCAACCCCAAACCCAGTCGCCGCCTCAAGTATCCGCTACTACGACATCCTCGGTGACGGCAACTGCCGCCGCAGCGACCGCAGCTGTAGCATCCCCCCCTGTTAATGGTGCTGCGCGCCCGACCGAAGAGTTGTCTTGTCTTTGGCAAGGATGCTCTGAGAAGTGCCCTACCCCAGAGTCCCTCTATGTAAGCTTACCGTGATTTCATATCTTCTGTGGCCATTGTCACCCTACCCAGCAGGCATTGCTGCCACTTGTCCCTTCAGTATATCACATCGGAGCCCTTCGAGCGCTTGCTTTTGACTGTGGCTGATCATTTTACAGGAACACGTCTGTGAACGTCACGTAGGTCGCAAGAGCACAAATAATCTCAACTTGACCTGCCAGTGGGGTAGTTGCCGAACTACCACCGTCAAGCGCGACCACATCACCTCTCATATCCGAGTACATGTGCCCTTAAAACCTCACAAGTGTGACTTCTGTGGAAAGGCCTTCAAGCGCCCTCAGGATTTGAAGAAACATGTCAAGACACACGCAGATGATTCAGTACTGGTTCGGTCCCCTGAACCGGGTTCCCGGAATCCAGATATAATGTTTGGAGGTAACCCAGCAAAAGGTGTGTCCTATGTCTCTAGTAGTATCTGCTGCGTAACTGACCTTATGGAGCTCTAGGCTATGCCACAGCTACGCATTACTTCGAACCCGCCTTGAACCCCGTCCCCAGCCAGGGTTATGCTCACGGAGCTCCTCAATACTATCAATCTCATCATCCACCTCAACCAGCGAACCCATCTTACGGCAACGTCTACTATGCGCTAAACCATGGACATGAGGCCGGCCACGCATCCTACGAGTCGAAAAAACGTGGATATGATGCCCTGAACGAGTTCTTCGGTGACCTCAAGCGTCGTCAGTTCGATCCAAACTCCTACGCCGCGGTTGGGCAACGCCTGCTTGGTTTACAAAGCCTGTCTCTTCCCATTCTCAGCGGCGGCCCACTCCCTGAATATCAACCCATGCCTGCGCCTGTGGCAGTAGGTGGCGGAGGCTACAGCCCTGGTGGCCATCCTCCCGCTCCTGCTTATCATCTGCCTCCCATGAGTAACGTCCGTACCAAGAACGACCTGATAAACATCGATCAGTTCTTGCAACAAATGCAGGATACTATCTACGAGAATGACGATAACGTGGCAGCTGCTGGTGTTGCCCAGCCGGGTGCCCACTATGTTCACGGCGGCATGAGTTATCGCACCACCCACTCGCCACCCAGTCAGCTACCTCCAAGCCATGCTACGGCCACCACTTCTGCAGGCCCCATTTTGGCCAACCCTGCGGCCCATTCGCCTACTGGAACACCCGCTCTCACACCACCCTCGAGTGCACAATCGTATACTTCTGGTCGGTCGCCCATTTCTTTGCCCTCAACAAGCCGGGTATCCCCCCCTCATCATGAAGGTGGCTCAAGCATGTACCCTCGCCTTCCATCGGCTACTATGCCTGATAGCATGACCGCCGGCTACCCAACCACATCGAGCGCAGCTCCTCCGTCCACCCTTGGCGGTATCTTTGACCATGATGATCGTCGTCGGTACACCGGTGGCACCTTACAACGCGCAAGACCCGAGGAGCGTCATCTACCTGAGCCGATGGATCTCTCTCATGATAACAAGGACGATGGAGAGCGGACACCACCTGCTAAGCCGCGTCAAGCACCCTCATCACCCGGTCGCATCTCCGCTAGCTTGATTGACCCTGCCCTTTCGGGCTCGGCGACGGAAGCAGAGACGCTGCGGACGGCCCAAGCCGCGACTGAAGTCGCTGAGCGATCCGACGTGCAGTGGGTTGAAAAGGTCCGCCTTATCGAATACCTGCGCAATTACATCGCGTCTCGCCTCGAACGGGGTGAATATGACGGCGACTCAGGCATGACTCGTGAGTCGCGCACACCAGAGGCTGGACATGATGGCCACATGGAAGGCGTGGAGAGCGAGCCTGTTTCTCGTCCTGCCAAATCTGAGTCTCCGGTGAAACCTGAGGCTGGAGGTGATACAGTGATGTACCCGACACTACGGGGAGTCGATGAGGATGGTGATTCTAAGATGCCTAATTAAGCGATACTCTTCAAATTGTTCTGTTTGCATTACCATGATCCGTTACTCTACTCTTGTGCATCCTTTTCTTTACGGCTCGTTACGAAACCGTTGTGGGAGTTTGTCTTATTTCACTTTGTTTTTCTTTGCACTGAATCGTGGATCTTGATTACCGAATACCTACTATTTTTTTTTTGTAACTGCGGGTCGTGGTGTATTTGTTGTTTGTAAGAACGTTTGGTTCAAAGATTTCTGTTCTTGTATAGTGGGGAGTTTCGAATGCAAAGGACAGGATTTGGGTACAATTTATCACTTTTTAAAGTTTCTGTATCAATGTTTCTCTCCAAAGCCCCGGGCATTTTTCTAAGTTTCGTAGACCTGCTAAGACATGAAGAATGAGCGAGACTCAGACTGTTATTGGCCAGGCTGCACAGAAAGCGTTTCGGGTGCAATCCAGATGCATGAAATAAACAGCGAGAAACCAAATCCGACCGTTTGCAACCAAACCATGTTTATTTAGTTACGGCCTACTTCTGGTATAATGTAGACATATAGGGAGTGGGAAGGGGAAGGTAATAAATATTTAGGGGGAAGGATCTATGATGTTACCTTGCCTTTCTAGAAAAATTCAATCAACAAAAAAATTTCTATTTTTTTTTTGAGGTCGATGCAGATCAAACTTAAGACATTCCACTGGACAGACGCTAAACTGAAGACGGGGGGGAATGACGCAAACAGAAGCATGGATTCACAGTTCAGGATTGGGCGGTTGACCATCACGAGTTCCATTAAAGTGGAATTCGAGAATGCTTTCTGATTGCCCGATCCGGTGTTTTCCCTGCTGGTCAAAATTTGGTTTGGTTGGATGCATCACACGAGGCGAGTGGAGGAAGAATTAAGCAGCGTTCGGGTTTAGCTTGTTGACCCATGATCAGCACTCCCGAGGACTCCGTACTGTGGACTCTTTGTTGGTAACTACCTAGTAACCCTTCATTGAATGGTTGGGGTTGTCGCAGGAATGACTGCATGAGTAGTGAAATCTTAGTTAGGGCTACTCGGGTGATTGAGTAAGGGAGGAAGGATTCACTTGTCGTCGACCAGGGAGTATGCTGCTGCTGCTCAAGGGGGAGAAACATGCAAAGGATCTCGACAATTCCTGCAACCGGGGATTCATTTTTGATTCCTTCGTGGGATTGCAGGGAATTTGCCGGGCCTTTGTCTCGCTTTTATTCCCCATAATCTCTCTATTTTCAGGGCCTGGTGTCTTCTGTCCCTTCAGTCTGGGTCGGTCTCCACTGTCTGTTTACGGCAGCGGGGGTCTCATCCATTTGAGGTCCACGGAGGTAGGATTGGGGAATCCCGGGTTCTTTTTATAAATATTGAAATATTAAAAGGTTGGGTGAGCCAGGAAGTCAACTGGGGCAGAATCGGTGAACATTTCTCGATTCATTGTTGCGAGACAAAGCGAAAGAAGAAAGAAAGAAAGAAAAGAAGGAAGTGAGCGTGTTTTGGGTCTGGATCTACTACGGACTGTCATTTCCAGAGAACTACTGATAAAGAACGATCCGTCAGCAACCGACTTTGAACTTCCCCACACGGAAGCGGTCACGCCCCAAACACCGGCGCGCGTTATCGTCATCGCTTCTCTTTTCTTTCTTTTCCCACTTTTTTCAAGACAAGTCGTATCTTCTTCGCTCCCCCAACAACAAGCCCTTTGTCGCTCCACCCCCGCTTCCTCCCCCGTGCGACTCCCTGGAATTCCAATTCAACCAGGTCACCCTTGAGGGTCCTCACATCATCTCTCGACAACCGCCCCAAAAGAAAAATTCCCGTGGCTGAATAATAATAAGCCAGCCACGCCCAGATCGCGTCTTGCGCGGTGGCAAACGATCCGTTGGTTCCTACCCTCTCGAACACCCGGTTCTAGGTTTTCCTTTGCCCTCTTTGGGTCATCTGTCTGCCGTCCTCGCTTCGCCTTCTTACAATCTCTTCCTACGTCAATCAGTTTGTTTGCTCGCTTGGCGCAGAATTTCGTGAATTATATGGGTCCGTGAATCGCGCACAGAACGTACAACATATCTTAGATTTAATATTGGCGACACGACGGTTTATCTACACCCAACAAGCCAAAACCCCAAACAAAACGAACAAAAAGAACAAAAGAAAAAAAAACACCTCCAACAACACCAACAACAACAACAGAAAATTCTTCCAGAATTCACAACAGTTCGCTTGATCAAAGATGCCACTATCGAACAGGCGCCGCGCGCGGCGCAAGGAAATCCAACTACAAGAGACCTCAGATGCGGAAGCTCCGGACTCCTCACCTACAAGGCCGTCAAATAAAAAGCGCAAGGTGTGTGGTTGCATTGCTTTACTGGGATGTTGACCGGTGACTAATTTCCTGTTTGCAGGTCGAACGGACCTCCCCTCATCCCCGTCCCCCCAAGACTGGAGAATCCGCTGACGAGGCGGACCACTCGTCCCCGGAACATGAACTATCGGAGAACCAGGACCTTGTGGATATGGTGATATCGTACCTCGACGCCGCCCGCGAAGAAGTGCGCGTGATACGTGATCACTCCAACACGAAGACAGAGAACAAGCAGAGTATCCGTGCCTATGCAAAGATCGCCGGCCGCAACTGGACATACTATGTCAAAACTCTCCATGTCAACATTGGGCGCGAACCGGATCGTGAACAGAAGCTAGATGAGCAGTCAAGCCCTGTGACGATCGCTGCACGGGCACTGCCAGAGGTGAATGTGGATTTAGGACCTAGCAAGTTCGTATCCCGTCTGCATGCTGAGATCTTTTACGACGGCGAGGAGACGGCCTCCTGGCATATCCGTGTGAATGGTCGTAACGGCGTCCGGTTGAACAATGCCATCCTGAAGCGCGGCACTGATGCGATCCTTTCGTGTGGTGATATCATTGAAATTGCCAACACCCAAATGATGTTCGTTACTCCAGGCGATAAAGCCAACATCCATCCCAGTTTCGTCCAACGCGCGCAGCGCCTTGCCAACGGTGAAGAGGATGTCGCCGCGTGGGACGCTTCGCAACATGCCCATCCCCACCCTGCGCCGTCGGGTGCCCCCGAGACTACTCGCCCTCCAACCGGCCAACCGTCTTTGGCGCCAGCACCGCATTTCCTCAAGCGCCAAGTAACGCCGCCGCCACGGTCCCCCGACACTGTTGGTGTCCGGACCGCCAAACAGTCCCCGTTATATAACCGAGGCATGATGATGGAGAGCACGGAGGAGATTGACTACAGCAAGGACTCGGCCAAGGACCTGAAGCCCCCCTACAGCTATGCCACGTTGATCGCGCAAGCAATCTTCTCTAGCGAAGAAGAAAAGCTAACCCTCAACAACATTTACAATTGGATCATGGACAAGTATGCATTCTATCGTCACTCTCAGAGCGGATGGCAGGTACGTGATGTCCCACATAGTGATCGCTGACTCAGTTGCCCTAACCCATGACCAGAATTCGATTCGACATAACTTATCCCTGAACAAGGCTTTCCAAAAAGTGCCCCGCCGTACCGATGAACCAGGAAAAGGAATGAAGTGGCAGATTGCCCCTGAGTACCGCGAGGAATATTGGAAGAAGCAGCTCCGTAAGGGGACACAGTCGTCGGCACCGTCCTCCCCCGCCACCAGGGATCCAGCCACGCGTGGCGCCAATGGTATGGAGGCGGTTTTTTCCAGCAAGAAGTCACCTCCAGTGTCATCCCCCGGGTTTAGCTCTTTCCCCGTCGCCCCGGTTGAGGCATACACGCCGGAACGGGGTTCACGGGCAAGCCGGACCGGCCCCCAGGATCATCCTCTCCGCCCACCTGTTCGAGACTACGAGGAGCCGTCCCCCTTGCCTGCGCGCTCAGCTATTAAGAACAGCAGCAATGGTACAAGCCTCCGGTATGGACTGTCTGATAATGTAGCTTCTCCGCCGATCTTATCGTCCTCCTATTATGACGAAGGCCCGTCGTCCATGATCACACCAGCACCACAACGACAGCAACCGCGCCTGCCTCCGCCTAGCACCGCGCAAATTCCATCCAAGTTCATGCCCATGAGCTCGCCAGCACAGTTCTGGAAGTTTGCAGATATTGGTAGTACGCCCGCCCGCCCGGTTCCCGACATGAGCCCGCTCAAGGGAGACCCTGGGGATGGGCTGGGCAGCATTCCGAGTAGCAGTCCGCCACCTCCGAATTTGGTCAGCCCTAGTAAACCAGGTACAGTCAACGGCCTAAGCACCGGACGATCACTGCCCCCGCGGCGTGAGCATGATTCGGCGGTCCGGTCAGCCGCGAACGGGGCGGGTCGGGATCTCGGAGATGATGAAGATGAAGATGATGGAGGTGGGTTTGATCTTGCGAGGTGAGCTTTTGCCAAAGATGATGACTAGTAGATGGACCCATGGCTGACTTTAGTGGTAAGGGGCTTTCAACCGATTGGATCGTACCATCGGCAGTTGAGCAACGCCGCTCGCACCAGCGCTGCAACTTCCTAATTGTTTGATTTACCTTTGCCTTTGCTTGTCTTTTGATATCCCCGTATGAATTCCATGGCTTCCCTTACGACATTATTGCTAGAGCAGACGCGCATAGAACGGAGTGAACAGAATGAATGGATGGTGTCGTGATGTTTAACCAGGAGATTCTCTGGTTCCAGCTTTTGTGATGTACTTGACGTGAGCAATGAGATAATGTACCTATATCTATTAGTTATCAGTTATACCATATCATATCATGACTGTCACTCCGTGCCTACACCATCTCATGCCTGGGCAGCAACAGGAACATCCGGCCAAAACCTCTCCTCCAACCACTTCACCTGCCTCCACCACCTTTCACACCGTCGCACCACGTCCTCTGGCTCATTCCGAACCCTCGACGCCAGCGCGTCAACCACCTCCGCAATCCCCTCCACAAACTCCCTAAACTCCACACTCGTCCAGTTAGGAATAAACCTCTCCCTCAGCGCCCCGCCATCCAAATCCTTCTCCCCACCCGCACTGCCAGCCCCCATAACTGCCTTCGCTCCTTCCCAAGACTCCAGGTAACACACCTCAGTCGCCCACAGAACAACCAACCCTTCCAACAAACTCACCGCGGGACTCCCCGCCGACATAAACAAATCAATATACGCCTGTGTAATCGTCCCGGGCCCAAACGTCTCCTCGCCCTCCGGCACAACCGCCAAATCCAGCCCATACTCCCTCGCCACCTCCTCGAAGAAGCCAATCTCGCGTTGAATATTCACCAGCGCATCGATGAGGACCGCGACGATCCGTCGCTCGAGTGTCGTCTCAGCAGCGTTGGAGGGTGCATGCGGAAGCTGGCATTTGGATAAGAGGAGCCCGATGAAGCGGACGTAGGATTGGGCGTAGAGCCGGTCTTGCGAGAGCCACTTTGACAGCGTGGTTTTGGGGAGGAGGCCCTTGCCCGCGGCCAGGAGGAACGGGTGCGTCGTTGCGCGGTGGTAGGTGGAGGGGTTGTGGGTTTTGAGGTGCGTTGTTAGTCCTTCGGGCATTTTGGGTGATTTGTTGGTTGTTGGTATGGTTGTTGGTATGGTTGGGATTTATGTGTCTGGGGGGTGGGTTAATGGAGGTTGTTTGGTTTGGTGGGGGGGAGGGTTTCTTTTGGGTTGGTTTTATGAGGGGTTTGGGGGATATGGTTACGTCAGTTTTTGTTTACATTGCTTTTTATTTATTTAATACTTGCCTTGGGAGGGATTTGTTGCTGTGTACTGACTGGTTGCTGTGTTGGAGGGGGGGGGGGGTTCGGTTCGGGTGTGAGTGAGATCGATGTCATTGCCTTTTTTATATGAGAATTCACCTTGATGATATGACTTGGATATTATCGGGTTGAATCTATTCGCTGTAGAGGGACGGTCGGTGAGTACTGCGTATTAATGGGTCCACTTCTCCGGATGCCTTCACAGCCTGGGTTGAGTCAAAAGGAGGATCTAGAACCTCGGTGGATAAAACAACAACAATTAGAGTTTGATCTTTGCTGAGCTGTCTTCCATCATGCATTCAATTACATACAGACTCTGTCGACTACTGCATTACCCCTGAAGATCCTACCCCGAATCATTCTTCGAACTTAAAACCTACAGCGGTGGCATCGTCAATCTGACCTGTCAGCGATTCTTCCCCTCATCGGCTATGTTCCAGTATCATGCAGAGCATCACCTCCATGGTGTATCGCGCATCGTTCCCCGCGTTGTGTAGATGCCAGCCGGTCATATGGAATTCCTGGAGGATATCTGCTAATTTGCGTGTGGTCGGTTCGCCGCGAATGATACGGAAGAATTCCGCCGTGTCCACCGTCCCTATAAACCCGGCGGTTCCCCCTGGCTTGCGCTCCGTCCGTATTCCTATCTGCCGGAGATACTGGATGTCGCTGCTTATAGCATGTCCAACGAGGATTAAATGACGTGGTGCATGCGTGGGAGAAGACGACGATGAGATTTGGAAGGCGTCCTGTACAGTAGCTCCTAGATCTTTGGCTGAGACCCATTCACTAGTCCCAAAATTGAAGTTGCCGGGACAGCCTGCGACAAAATGTTGGTTGACATGGTGAGCGTATTCTTCCACCCGCAGATGACGCGACTTTATTTTGGTCCTCCAATGGGCCCCGTCTTCGGCTGGAGACATGCCGACGAGATCCAAGGTGTCCAGAGTCGAGATGCCCACTTCTGTTATCTGCTTATGATAATGCTCGTTAGATTCCACATCAATACTAATGAAAACAGGCTCCATCCAGAAGGGGAACGGTGCCGGCTTGTCCATGTCCAGCGGCCAATGGGTCTCAGGCATCGGTTCCTGGGCTTTCTTTTCCTCCCAGGCCACGTCATCAATCAGGTCGTCTGCCTCACTGGAGCATAGACCTAGGTAACTCTGTGCTCGTCGGAGGTCCTCAACTAGGCGTCGTTGATTTTGCAGGCGTTGTTGCTGTTTGACCTTAGAAGGCTTCTTTTTGTTTCTGGTTGTTTCCCATGCGGCCTCTACCATTTGTTCAAAGGCAATGAACTGCTCGTCCATTCCAGACGAAGAACGAGGTGCCTCCGATGAGATAGGGATTTGCGATTCGAGGCGGTCTTTCGTTTCCCGACATGTGCTTCTGCCTATGAATACGGGCTGCGGAAAGCCTTCCCTTTGAAAGGGAAGAACCAGTCCTTCATCCGATAGAGTAAAGTTGCATTGCAGGGCACGGTCAATCTCCTGGAAAAAGGCACGGACCTGGGCAGTGGGCACGAGAAGCAGATGACGAGGGCCTGTAAGAGGTGGAAGCTTGATATAATACCTGCATTGTCAGAAGGGTACTACAATTGGAAGACGTGAAACACTCACAGATCCCAACATCGGTTCCAGAACTTGCCTCCATCAAAGAATTCGCTAGCCAGTTGCTGTGATAGCGGGCCTTTGACATACTTGTAGGCATACCTTGAGATTGTCACCAAAGGAGAGAAAGTCCCGTCGTGAGGCACATCAGAGCCTTCTAGAGAAGGGGAGGGAATGGTATCGACCGGAATTGTCTGCGTAGAAGACCCAGGGATTGGAGTCACGCTTTCGGAACCCTCCTCTCGCGCGTTCTCATGCTTCTCATCGCTGATAGCTGATTTATAGGGTCCGAGGCTCTGCGCCAGCTGTGAAATATTAGGGTCCGAGGGCTCCCTGTCAGTGTTTACGTTGTCATTGATAGAAGCAGAGTCCTGGTTGGACTGAGCCTTAGGCAGAGTTCGGAGTTGAGTATCCAGTTTCAACAAGGCCTCGTCTCCACTGAACAACAAATTTAGTCGTGCTATTCTATCCATTATTTCCAATCTGTCTGGGAGAGCTCGGATTCAACCAAGAATGAAGATGAGATGAAGGATGAAATCAATGGGGATGTGTAATAGAAAAGAAGAAGGTGCGTTTGCCTATCGAGCAAACCAGAAGTGAGACAGCTGCATGACCTCAGTATGGGCAATTCACTTGGAAACATAGCTCAAAATAAGTAGACAGGTATTTTACAGAAGAGCATGGTATATTCATCACCTCGGGTCTTCTGGTTGTGTGGTATATTCCCCACTGCATTCTGTCAACGGTAGTGAAGAGATGAATTCAATAGAGCCATTCCCCAGTTAATGCCACTACAGGAACTTTGGAAACTGAAAAGCACTATTAATCTCCAGATTAGTTTTGTTCTGTGTCTTCACTCTACGGGTATACTGCTGGTAGAAGCTGTATAGATCCATCTCGAACTATTCCGAAATAGGAATGGGTCACGTGTCGGAGTCAGTCGAAGGCGCAGGACCAATCGCAGTGGATGGGGAACTCCCGTCTACTCAGGCACCTGCCAAGCAACGACAACTTGCTTCCATCCATCTTTCCCTTCATCACTTCATCCCCCTTTTCGTTAACGGTGCTAGGCTATAGAACCGGACCCCATCGGTCTGTCTCACGTAGACAGTCCATGCGTTTGGATTGAACTCTCCTCGATGGCCTCGCCGTCACACATGGTGCCGTCATAAACAATAACATTCCAGCCGCGCTCCACACCCTCTGATTCCAGCCTCTCCCTCCGCGCCTTCGCTACTACCCATGATGGTAGACTACGACGACGACGACGCTGGCGGAGTCATCCTGGATGGCCCTTTTGATCCCGATGCCCAAGCTACCGTCACCGACTTCATCGATTATACCGAATACCTCCCTGCTGATATCATCCGTTCCCTGACTCTCATCCGCGGCTTGGACGAGCGCTATCTGGAAGCCACTCAAGGCGTGCATGAGCTCACCAAGACCTACGGACAACTCCCCGAATTGCCTCCAGATGGACGTCCTGATGCGCGCAATTTGCGCAAAGATATCTCCTCCCGACTCGACCGCGCAATCAATGCTCGCGAGTCCGCTTACGCGGAGGCCTGTCGTTTATACGATGTTGTCGATCGCCACTTCAATCGCTTAGACTGTATCAAGCAGAAGCTCGAGGCACTTCCAAAGCCACCGCCCACCGAAAACACTGCGCCGCAGGCCGTTCCCGTCACCAAGCGTGGTCGACCAACGAAGAAAGGCGACGATGTGGTAGCCACAACGCGCATCACACTCCGCTTGGATAGCCATGATCACCCGAAATCTGCATCAACCCTGAAATCTAGAACGCGACGGTCGGTCCTCTCGGCGGAGCACCTTGCCGGTCTACACCCCGACTCGCCGATCGCCAGCACCGAGCATTCGGATGTGGAGGAGCCCAAGGCTGTACCGTCAGAGTCGCCTGCTGATTCGGCAGTCCCTCAAGGCCGGAAAGAGAAACAAGGCCGGCGATCGCGGACCTCGCTTGGCACCCATACACATAGCGGCGTAGCAAATATCTCAACGAGTAATGCCCTGGCAATGCTTAAGCCTCCCCCTGAAGACGCAAAGCCGGGTAGCGAGGATATGCCGTGGTTACGTCTGACAGAGTGGGAGATGACCAAGCTGCGTAAGAAGATGAAGAAAAATGCCGTGTGGCAGCCGAGTGA